CACAATTTAACTGTATAAAACGGTATAAAATCACTGGTGTGGAATTTTCGAAAAAAAAAGTACACAAAATTGGTTTTATATATAACAATTATTGGAGAAAAAATTTTTATATTTCACACAGCAGCTCGGCTATGAACTATCAGCTGCAGCAGTTAATCTACTACTCATTTGCAGCCTATAGTAAAACAAATATATATTTCGTACATTGGGGTCTACGTGGAGGTCTATGTACAGGGTGGGCCAAATTGCGCACTTTGAAAGGAAAACTCCTATTCCCGTACAAGATGAAAAAAATACTGATGTCGTAGCCTGGTGATCAATTCACACGACAAACTCAATGGTAAAAGCTGTATATCGTTATCTATCTTCGTTTCAGAGTTACAAGGTGTTTTTCGAAAATATGAATTTTCGAAAAGAGGCTGAAACTCATTTTTTGTCAAAATTTCTTCGTTTCCATAAAAACATTCCCAAAGCACTGCGTTTGTCATGAAAATAGATCCACGGCACTAAAATCAGTCACCATTAGAACTTTTCCTTCAAGAAGAACAAGTTTGTTGAACAAGATATAGTAGGAAGACCGATTTCAGTGCCTCATGAATACTTGTTATCACAAGTGCAGTGATTTTCGTAAGAACATACAATTTTTGCCAAAAAAAATTATTGTAACTCCGAAACGAAGACAGTTATCGATATGCGGTTTTGCATGAGAATCGACTCCCAGGCACCGACATCAGTTTTCTTCTATCTAGTTGGAGAATGGGGCTTTCCCTTTAAAAGTGACCAATTTGGCCCACCCTGTACAGTGAGCACTTCAACTCTCTATTCACCTCTTATCAATGCATGTGATCCATTCCATAGCTATCCGAGATAATATGCGATGGCGTTCGAACCCACGAATTCGAATCCTGGCGAGCGAGCGCGTTCGCGCGTCGACTGTTTCACGGCATCGCCCGTCATACGCGCGTCCCAGTTGGCCGGTCGATGGTGACGTCGCAGCAACAACTGTCCGTGGAAATCATGGTCGGCTGCGATGCACCCAAACCACCCGAATGGGAGGTGCGCGAGACACGTAAACGTGGGGAGATGGGGGAGCGAAATTGGGGTCGAGTGCTGGGTACAGGGTGGCCAACGCAAATGGGTGTTCCCCCATGCAACACATTCACATCCATAGGCGATTCAAAATAAGCGATACGCCCTCTTGAGGATATTCAAGTAACTAATGGAACGTACATTCAATGTTTGTTTACATTCAGGTTTCCATGCATTTTATCGAATGTTTAGTGGCCATTGTGATATTTTTCGAGTTCGAATCCTTCAATAGAGTATCTTAAATCAGTATTGCTCCGTTTCACATGTTATTCATGAAGGTTTTCTCTCGGTATTCCACAAAAAATTATAATTTCAATAAGTGTATAATTGTTGCATTTTTTCCCAGAAGTGAAAAGTTACAGTAGGAATTTAAAAAAAAAATTAACACTCACTCAAAAACAAAGCACAATTTTTCCTACTAGGTAGACCGCAGATACATCCAGTTTTGAGAACTTCTATCTTTCATAAACACATGTGAAGTAGATAAAACTAACGTAACCTCAAATTGGAGGTTTTTATTTGACTCTGACTGACTGACTCTACTGAATCTCATGTATTTCAAGTAGTAGAACATACTTTATTGAACGAATATCTGCTGAAAAGCTCCCTCGAATCACAAGAGTACATAAATAAACAGTTTTCTTTGCTCAAATCACTATAAAAAAATCGAAATAATACACACAAGCAAATGAACCATTTCAAAACAATGTACTTTCATATAGTTCCACAACCAGCCACTTTGGCGCTGCGATCTCAAATTCAGTCTCGCCTATTGGATGTCCATTTTGTGTCCGTTAGATGCAGTGCCGGATTTATACTCATTAGAGAGTTGAAGTAATCACTGTACGTAGACACGTAGACGTTAAGGTACGAAAAATAACGTTTACGTATTGTCGTTAAATTGAGTTGAAGTCGTCACTGTCATCATAACGTAATAATACATTTTGTTTTCGGTTTGTATTGGTCATTTTTGGTTGTGTGTTTAGATTCGACCATTTATTCCTGTCAAAATGAGAGGACTCCTTGATGCAGAACTCGTTGGGGATCCCAAATTTGATGATTATGACTCATCAGCATATTTCGAGTATATAGTTTGGTTAACGTACGTTGATATTCAAGGTATACGTGAAGGTACGTGAGATAACGTACTCCCATAAGCCCACTAACAACGCAAACGTGAAGAATTGGAAAATGCGCATGCGTAGCTGTCAATTTCTACGTTCACGTTAACGTTCATGACAACGCTTCAACTCTCTAGTATTACCCTGGAGCTTACTATTACGATGCCGTCGTGCCGTCGAGAAATAATAAATTTCAATTGTCAGTTTCAAATTTCAAAGTATACTATACCCGTTCATTGCTTTTATTCCGCAGCATATGACACTATAACATGAAATCATCACGTATAACGAATCGAATTATATTCACTTCACACCTTAAACCTAACAAAAAACAACAAAAATCTTTTTTAAATACTAAAAAACTTTTTATGAATTTCAGTTTCAATATTCACCATTACCTTCGACAACCTATTGAATACTGAGCTCTGGTTATGTTATTTGTTATTGAGTTAGACGAATCACGAAATTACCCCTACTGAGTAGAATGCGGCTTTTTAATCTTCATCAAATAATGACTATCTTTATATCAAGGGAGCAAAGGTATCCATTTCCTCCCGCGTGTTAAGTTTGATGCCCGACGCCCGTAATATGGTTCTCCTCACGTGAGAGTAAATTGACAGGTTGAGGAAGCAAACACTTATTTTCTATTAAGTGAGTAGATATATAAGTATGTACCGCAGCCGCTTTTGTATGGTAGCGTCCAAGGCATGGCACAGCTGGCGCTTGATTAGTGAGTTTTATGATGATCACAAAAACAGTATCACAACCTAGTCCTTTTAATGCGGTGCCGACAGCCGGGGACCGCTAATTGCGCGTTTGCTTCAAAATGCGATGAGTTAACCCTTTCAACTACACTTTTTCTTCATGAAATTGTGATTTCTGACTTATTTTGTATATAGTTAGGTTACTCCTGTACAGGTTTGCATCATTTTAGATTTGTTTTTTGACATTGACAGATGGAACAAATATGCCCCATTGATATTATTGAATGGGTCACTGGTAACTTATGAAAAAAAGTCCAAGTCTTGTGAAATATTTATTCAATATTATTTTTCTCGGTTTCATGTATGATATGACATGAAACAGTTTCTGCAAAGTAATTACTTGACACACTCTGCACATACGATTGATCACCACCGCTGTCGATTTCATTATCTTGTGTGGACCATCTGAATCAGAGGATGATGTCTTTGTCTCGTAGTCTTCGTCGAGGTTGTCATCGGTTTCAAAGGGATCCAACTCATATTCAGTATCTATCCACCAAAAATACATATAAATTATCACCTACCTGCCAAAAAACTCTATGAAAATGAAGAAAAACAGATATAAAACAATCAATTCAATGTAACACGTGTGAAAATGAATGAAAAAATGACTGCGCATGGCGACCGATGCTTTTGCGCGAAGACTACTACTAGAGTAAAAATACGTTGAAATTGGGACACATTTCCAGTAAATATTCATAAACTCTGAGTGGGACATATATCATATATGTCCCGATGGGACTGAACGGGTTGAGAGGCGGCAAATAAAATGCATGAAGCAATATAATATACTTGTCGCCTCGTCGGCTTGCTTTTTCTCTTTTTCTCTACCGCCTCTTGAAATTCATGCACCGCCGTGGAGTGATAGTCCCATAGCCTCCCTCCCATCCATTGGACAACCATTTTGTGGATATGAGGCCTCCAAATCCATACCTCCGATGGAAATCCATTATTAATCCAAAGGAAATCGTTTTAGAAAAATAGTCGAGTTTTCATTACGGACAAGTTTATTAATTTTCAAGATTCACGTCTTCTGATATGTCCTTTTCGAAGGTAGGAACTCAAAATTCTCAGTATTCATGATTTGAATCCGATTTCAATTCATAAGGTTCTATACTGAGTGCATGGTTATCTCTCGAAGATGTTCACCCTTATATTCGAAAATATTGAAATAAACAAGGTGTCCATTTGAAATCATGAGTTTTTAGTCTCTCATGCTTCAAAGAATCACCCAGTAAAAATTGTGATATGGGCCGTGGTAAGGCCTCATTACGGCATTCAACTTTCTCGATGAAAAATAACTCGAACGTAAATATACAGTTGGGCCTTTTCAATGGTAAACTCTGAACATACATAAGTAAATATCAATAGAAATCTGAATGGCATGAGTTTATATAACTTATAATTCTCAAGAGCTGAGTAGTGGGTTTGAATCCCCTCGGCGGCCTTTTTTTATTCTCCAGGTTCTGGAGAAAACTAGCTATATCCAACGGAGGATGCTGTATATCTAATAGGTGTCCATCAGGTTGCCCATTGCTGTACATCCATTGGTTGTCTGAAAAAAGGTTCTCACGAAATTAGGTACCATAAATTCATCACCGAAACCATTCCATTTACGATACGCAAACTTATTCAAATTTGCCAGTACAGTTATTCGAAGAATAATGTTCAACCATACTTGGAGATGATATTCTGATATGCACAAGATGGCACTCTATATTTGTTGAGAATCTTCACCATTCACCAATCATTGCTACTCAATGCACTAACATGTCTTTGGAAGAAAACAGCAGTATAAACAATAAAACCAATATATTTTATTCATAACAACAAACTACTCTGCTATAATTTATCATTGAACGATATCTATTAATATATTTCTTCTTTCACTAAAACTTTGGTCTCATCTTATTATGTCGGCAATGCATATAGGAAGTTCGATTTGATATAGAAAAAGGAACAACGTTTTTTTTAATATATGTAGGTAGTTCTTATTTCTACCAGCAATTCTTCTAAATATATATATTTACAAATGCTGTAAATTCATAGCTAGGGCGGCTCCTTTTGCTGCATCTCCACCTTTGGTAAAAACCAATGGCAATTGATACAAATTCTGGACTTCTTTCTGTAAAACCGAATTTCTCGATAATCCAGAACCATTTCCAACAATGCGATCTATCTTCGCATTCTGCAGAACCTCTCTAGGCATCATGCTAACAACAAAAAACAGAATGAACTCGTTGGCCACTTTTGTGATTTCTCCTCTCAATACCTGTGCAAATTCTCCAGTAGCCCTCTGCATAAAGCTCTGAAAACTTGCCCCAAACCCAAATTCCCCACATGGATATTGGTCACCGAAGCTAACAAATCTGGTTGGTTCCTTTCACCCAAACAAGTTGGTCTTATTTCTAAGTCGGATGTAGCATTCTCATCGGAACTAAGAGCGATAACTTTTTCCCAAATCTTTGCTGAAAACAAAAATACACACTGCTGTTTTTCAATAACCGAATGTAGGTGAACATCAACGTTTGGTAATGTGGCAGCCGCCCCAGCAAACAATTTTGGACGGCCATATGCTGGCCCAGAATATATGAAGGTCAAAATTGGTCAGAACGCCAAAATTCCTGTAAACATTGATGGACCAGTACCAATTGGCCGTAATCAGGGCCAGTACATGTCTGCCGATACATTCGAATAAAAAAAGAGGACCGCCACGTGATTCGAACCCCGGTTACAAATCGAACTTATTCTTGAAGTGATGTGTGTACCGAATTTATTTCCGGTTGACTTTCAAAAAGGAATATTTCATACCTATTTCATGAGCCGAAGGTGACTTGCCTATTTTTTATGGCAGAATTTAATGACTTTCATGATCATATTCAAATGGAATGAATAATCATACTTTATATGAGACTACACTGAGAGAAAACTTGAGTTATCATAATTGGAAATCTGATAACCGTTATTACGATATCTGCAATAAATAGGGGACAGATGTGTTCATTTGCTACCATAGATGAAGTGAATTTTCAGGTGACTTGTAGTTATGGCAGCTTATTCAATTTGCAAACTTGTATAAAAAAACCGCTGCTGAATAACTACTACTTATTCTAATTTCTATGATAACACAGAATGTCGAATAGGAATTATTCCCATAAAATGTTGCAGTAACTCTCCACTCTACAGTGGTTATTAGACTATCGACATAAAACAGCATGTTTTTATTACTGGCACAACCATCTTGAGGTAACGCAGTAATTCGTCTCATTTCATCATAGTTATCTGATATCTGCATGGAACCTGACATTTTGACATGCTATTGTAATGAAGCTCATTTTCAACAGTTATCCCAATATTTTTCTACTCTAGTATATTCATCAGACAGTGGTAATAAGGTTATCTAATCAACATTATTCGATGGTATGTATTATGAAACCGTGCTTTGAATAACTGCAATGAAAATAAATATCCTATCCACACTATCACTTTTCATGATCCAAAGTTATTGTTTTCAAAAGAACAAAAAAATACGTTTAGTCTCTGAATTGAAATATTTGGGTATCTGTGGAAATTTTTTGACATAACTCATTGGTTTTTTCGGAGAAATATCATCTATATGCATTACTGATGAATTTATTAAGAAATGAGAAGTTAAATACTTATATTTACCCTTCCTTCGGAGTTATGATGAGAATTGTCAAGAAAACTTCCCTCACAGAAACACAGATATTTTGATTCAGAATCTCATCGATCATTTTGTTTTTGCAATAAACCAATTTTAGGCCGTGAAAAGTGGGTATGGAGAATACTTTTTTCATTGCAATAAAGCAATGCACGGTGTATTCCACAGATCGGTTCACAGCCAGCACTAAAACAAAACTTTGCTACATCACAGACATTCACCTACAAGACACGGCTCTATCGATTCGGACGATCGAAACCATTGAACAATAATTGAACACGGGCACCCATGACCGAGAACAGCAGAGAAATGAACGCGATCTGTATCTTTGTCAGCCCCAATACTGATGAAACACTAGAGCGAAATGAGCCGAATTACGATTGTCGAATGATTGCCTAATAACCGTCATACATGTGAATTGCTAGAGTTATTCGTCAACGTACAATGCTAGAAACCCAAACAGCTATGATTATTGGGACAAACATTATCTGAATTCACCAATGAGCATAATTCACAAAACGAGCTATGTCAATAAAAAATCTAAATAGACTGGAATTTATAAAATTCTCATAATGTCATAACACACTTGCGTTATGATGGTAGCAAATGTCCATTCAAGGGTATTACAAATGATTTAAGAAATCGATTTTTATAATTACAGAATGGAGAGAATACTGCTGTAATAATAAAATGATCAGGAATAGGAGATTTCCTTATAATGGTTATTACAATCAGAGCTGGTAGATATTTTTAATATCCAGTTTCTCTCAGTGTAGCAGACCTCGCAAACGTCGTTTTGCTTTATACCTACATTATTTCTATAATATATTTTTTCAGTTGAATATTCATCAAGACACTATTATTATTTTATTTTCTACTCCTTTTTAGTTTCGCTATCTATAAAAGCGTGTTTCTTTAGTATTTCAAACTACTATTTATTTCAACTTCTTTTTATTTCACTTGAATTTCCCAATTTTGACGAGAAAATCATAATATCCGACTCCCAAAACCCCAGATGTAAATTTTGAAAAGAATCGGAACATAATTACAAAACTCGTCCGTAATTTTGGATCTACCATCTTGAATTCCCTAACTTTGACGAAGGAATCATAATTTTTGATCCCGAAAACGCCCACTTACAAACTTTGAATAAAATCGGTATATTATTACAAAACTCGTCCGGTGTATTGGTTCCACCGTCTTGAATTTCCAAATCCCGCCCCTTCCAAATTTTGAAAAAAGAATCATAATCTCCGATCCCCAAAACACCCAGATAACAATTTTGAAGAGAGTGGGATCATAATATACTCGTCCGCCATATTGGGCCCACCATCTCGAATTTTGACGAAAGAATCATAATCTCCGACCCCGAGAACCACTAGATACCAAATTTGAATGAATTCGGATCCTGATTACAAAATCCGCCATTTTGGATCCGCCATCTTGAATTTCTCCATTTTGACGAAGGAATCATAATCCCCGATCACGAAAGCCCCTATAGGTACCAATTTTGAAAACAATCGGATCACCATATTGGTTCCGTCATTTCCAAATTCCGCGCAAATTTTCAAATTCTGACGGAAGAATCATAATCTCCGACCCCGAAAACCCCCAGATACCAATTTTGAATAGAATCGGACCATAATTACAAAACTTGTCCGATATATTAGATCCACTTGATCCATCTTGAATTTTCTAATGGTACCGGAATAAAAGGTATCCTTCAACCTACTTCTGGTTCTAAGCTACCTCCCCACCAATTTTCAGCCAAATCGATCCAGTAGTTTCGGAGCCTATTCAATACATACAAACAAACAAACAAACAATAATATTAGTATAGATAACAAAATATATCAGAGACTTCATCGCGGAGCCGAAACTGTTGAAGCAATGTTCGTGAAATTTGGCAAAAGAGTTTACTTCCTGTAACGGGATTTCAAACGATTTCAATATGCCATTTGAAGAGTTGAAATCTGCCGATCTATCATTTACTGAGCCAGAAGGCGACCAGAGATTTGATGTTTGCTGGGGCAGTACCAGTAACAGCACCTATACGGGCACTTACATTGTGGTATATTGAAACCCAAGTCCATGGTCCACTGCTGAAGCGTTCTGACGAAGGTAGCCAATGAGTTGCCTCCATTCAATGACGCTGCTACAGTAACGAAGTTGTTGTTGAAATAGGGCCAATAATGAAACGGGGTATGTTGAGGAGGGCCAGAATTCGGTGTGTAATCTTCCACAATGAACGATATTTGTGCTGAAGTTGATATGTTCAAAACAGCATCATTGGGTGTCTCCACTGTCGATAATACGGAGCATTGTAAATCACCCAAGCTCACACCTACAAATTTGTTGAATTATAAGAGTTGAGAATAATCAAAAATCAAATAATGGTACGGGCATGAGCTATCAACGAACTTATGATAGTTGTCGTCATCATGAACAGCTTCTACCTTCTTGACAGTTCGTCCGATAAGCTATAAATATTGTGTAATCATATGGTTGACGTATGAATTATCATGAATCTGTATCTATACTATATGTATTTCACTCAGATATATATATATATGCCTATTTAAAAAAGAGTAAAGTAATATTTCACGTCCATGAATCACTATTGTAGCAATGTGCTATTATAAATGAATTTTGGAGGTATGTATATTATAGATCACAAAGATTTATGTTATTCGGTAGATTGCCTGTGAAAAATTAATGGAATAACTCATTAATTATAATACATATCTGTGATGACAATATGGTGTATATGTGTGCCAAATCTGTTTTAATTACCGATTGGCGTTCCTTTTGGAATGCTGTGCCAACATCTAGCTAGATTCCCGGCAATCTCTCCGCTAGATTTCACATTCGGCAGTAAATTCACAGGGAAGCCTACAGCGGACAGAATATCTGTATTCCATGTGTTATTATGGCAGTCGAAATATCCCCAACTTGCAGCATTCTGATATGACATGTAGGGCTTCTGTAGATCGCATAGCATGGCGACTACAAAATCTGATATTGTTCCAGCACAATTATACTTTTCAAGCTTTCCAGGTCTGAAATTTGTACATCAGTATAGTGTTCTCGAAACAATGAATCAAGTGTTTCAAAAAACTACTCTGAACCATCCCTTCTTGAAGAATTGAAACTATATATAACCATATACCTATTACTATATGAAATATGACATCTACATTATTTTGAATGAATAGTTGGAAATAATGAAAAGTTTACTTGTGTTCCTTCATCCAAAAAATGGTTGCAACTCCGAATCCAGAGGAGACATTTAGATGTGAGTTTGGTGTGGGTAAACTGGCAAGAAATTGGCGATCACATCGGTTGTCTTGCCACGTATACAGGGCAGAAACCCTATCTTGACATACGTCGTATCTAACAGTTTTGTCTTTTTCCACTATTTCCCAAGCTGTTTTAGTTTCCTCATTCTTCCAGAACATTACTCCATGCATTTGACCGCATATTCCGATTTTAGAAACCTGAATTACTCAAATGAATTGATACGATAGATTAGAAGGTCTTCAACAACTTTCCTCACCTCTTGAAGCAATTGTTTTGGCAACTTGGAGACACATAAATTCAATGCAGAAATTATTTTTGAAATATCCTGCTTGTTGCCTCCATGACCTGTATCACTCGGTATATTAGACTGAGTGTCTTTAATGTGCTGTGCCTCTACTACATCTGTTTTTATATTAACGATACACACTTTGACTGAGGTAGTTCCGATATCTATACCCAAAATATAGGTATTCATTCTGATATCTGAAACAAACATGCAACCTCTGAATCCACTGAGTGATATATAGGTACCTATATAAAGTGATAAAAACTTCGTTGGGTAGCTAATAATAAAAGTCAAATCCACTTATCATCCGTTTTTCATTATCTTTATCGGTTTCTGTCTTGTTTATCATCAATAAGTATACCGGGTGTATCAGGATCATGTATGGTACACCCCCTTTTTCTCCTTCAGTTTTAGAGATAAAATATTGAAATTTCAAATGACCAATCAACTTGATATAAAATACTCATATCGATAGGTGTATTGCTTAATGAATCTAATCCTGTAAAACATGTGAAATTTCTTGATTCATCACCAAATTTAGTTCATCAAAATGGTATGCTTTTGTGTACCATCATCCTGTTACACCCGGTATAGGCAACATATTGTGGGTCGGCCAAAACAGAACGATTGATAATAAAAGTGATAATTATGATGGAAACTTTGATAATATATATTATATATAGGTGCCCGGCAGGTGACGAAATGGTGTATACCTGACATTTTAATAATAAGTACATATAATTTACACTCTAAAAGAAGGCTCAATGTAAGTATTTTATATCGAATATCGTCAATATATATATAACGATCAAAATAAAATGTGGGGCTATATATTTTGATAGATATCAGCCGGTATAATTTATGGATTGTTCCTCATGCATATATGGGTTGTCATGCACCTATAACATCTTCGAACTTATGATTTTTCCCGCTAAAAAAATTAATTATTCCTACATTGTATAAGTAATGATGTAATGACGTAAGACGCTATCGATTGTGACGTCATCGAGCGCGCATATAGCGAGCGCTACGATCTCTATCTCGTTCTCATCCTCCCTCTCTCTCTCTCTCTCTTCGAATGTCTTTAGCGCGTTGTAAGCGCTAAAAGCGTTCTCTCCGAAAGCAGGGAATATGTACTCGGTGCCAGAGTCAGCCTGTCTAAAGTCCGTTTCACCCCTAGCCTCTATGATGGAGTTAAGATTGATGATGGACACTCAGTGGAGGAGTGTATATCGCGACGAAATTTGGAGGGCTCAAATAGGACACCCGAGAGATGGAAACCTACATTTCCATATTTTCATGAAAAAAAAAACAGCTTAGTTTTGAAATGGCGCCTGAGCGCCAACTTGAATTATTTTTTCGAATGAAACACTCCGCGTATTTCATTTTCAAAATCTTCTCGTAATTCTGCTAATTAAAAAATGCAAGAAATGTTTCGCGATGGGTCATAAATATATTATAAATAATTTCAGAATTTCTCTACTCACCCTGATGTATATGAATAAATCCCTATACAACTTAAAGACACTGAATGTAACCGCCTGTTCTCATCTATTGCTCCATAAAGGTTGAAGCCGCCGCCTCTGTACTTTACTCTAAAAGCATCTCTCAGTTTGAACTTTGAACTCAAATATAAATTTGCCAATCAACCTCAAAACTAGTCGAAACTCAAAACCAACTCGTTCCCGCCAATTAAAAACTTTTCAGTAATGATAATTAATTATTGCGATATTGGGTAGCTTTTTCTGTTCTTTGGATAATTCATGCACATTCAGCACATTTGACACATCAAAAATAAAACCGACTAACTAATAGTTAACAGGATAGGTAATGAATGGGAATGTTTGATCTAGTTTTTAGCGCTACTTCTCATTCATTTAAAAATAATCATATTCTCAATGGAACATGAAAACGGGAGCACATGACGTCATTGAAACCATTATGAAATATTTGGAAATATTGAATCGTCTACTTTGTTGCTACTGCTATGATTCATAACTATGTTATTATTGTTATTACACCTAATGCAGAATGCAGATTGCATATATCTTGTTATGACTGGTCAGAGAATAAGGATTGACAACTGACATAATGAACATCAATGCAAGGGCAATGCAAGGGTTGTGTGGTTGTCAACCATCACAAAAATGCACGAGCTTCTCGGATCAGGAAGGGACCATGGGTGTCAGCTTCATATCTGAAATGGCGGCTGATGGCGGTTAATTCCGAAAGCAGTGAATGAGGAAGGATAGTATCATCAGATATGGCCGATAGGGATTCAATGATATACTCGTTCATGATCGAGCTCTATCTGAGGAATTTCAATGCATAAATAATGAAACTAGTACATTCATAACCTGCCGGAACGAAGGCAACAGAGCCAACCAACCTCTATATTCTTTCTCCGAGACGCCGATATAAGTAAATAAAATTTCTTCGTTGATTGAGAGATTGTTCAGCCCTTAGCAGATGATTCATACAGCCACCAATGAACTCTATATAATTTTATATTGAGTTCATTGGCAGCCAAACACAATATAGCCTGTAATTTATTGCTGCTTGGGCTGTGGGCTGTACGGACAAATTTGATGATCCATGGAACGAGAAGTTCCACTAAACTGAAACCCGTGTGCGTGTACTCAGTCTATCTCTTTTCATCGTATTCGCATGTTGAGAAATTGAATGAATATTCAGGTTTTGCTCCAATTACAACGTCAAATTCTTTCTATAAGTGATTATTTTACATTTATGAAGAGAACAAAATGATGAGACACAAAAAAACATATTTTTTCTGCAGCATTGCAGCAATAAGCAGCAACACCAGCAGAACTACCGATACTGTGCTGAGTCTCTTGTGAAATTTTATGTGTTTGACGTATGTAACGTATGTTATACATTCTCGACATGACATTCTCTATCTCTGTCCGGATATTTTCGATAAAACAGGCCACAGCCTTTAGGGCTATCTGACAAAATTTTGGGATTTTTGACTTTGACATTGACCTCACGCTTTAGGCAGCGTTCACAGCCAACCTTTTAACGTTTTGCTCTCTACGTTTCGTATTTTGATTGGTGAATCGAAAAGACTGAATACGAAGCTTTTTGCGTTGCAAGATGGTGAAAATAGGCAAATACTCAATACCCAACCTTTTCGAAAAGAATGAATAATAATACATGAAAACTTGATACCAATAACCAATTAGCAATACTGTTTATATTGTGTATTTTTGCTTCTGTAGTATTTTTGTGATACTTGTCACAATCTTGTCACGAAGACGTGCAAGAAAACGACATATTTTATGAACATTCCTGCTATTTGGAAGAATTATCAAATGAAATTGATGAAACTTCATTAAATGAATCTCAAATTTTGGTAGATGCGAGAAGGGTAGAAACTCAAACCAAATATCACAACATAGAACAAGTTCTAAGAATTCTTGAATTCACTTTTTGTTGAGAATGAGATTGTTTCAGTTCAATTCATGTTAAGTTTCAGATTCCAATCAGAAGCCAAAAAGTAAAAAGCAAAACGTAAAAAGATTGGTTCTGAACGCCACTTTAGTAGCGCCATAGATCTAATTAGATCTATGGTAGCGCCAACTGGTGAGACTGAAAATTTTAGCCCTCCATTTTTCTATTATTACGGTTGCATAAAAATCAGAAATGGTTGACAAATTCTGAATTATCCTCGCCGATATAAGCAAATTCAGCAATCTCTGCAGCACTAGCAGTAGCAGCAATAAGCAGCAGCTAGCTCTTCACCACCGATACTGTGGTGAGGTATCCCGTGAAATTCTGCATTGAAATCGTTCCCTGTCACGGAATCACTTTTTTGTGTTTGACGTATGTTTGACATTCTCGACATTCTGCATCCTCCATCTCTGTCCTAATTCCCTACTTTCTTTTCTAATTCAAGGCAACGACACCGCGCCATTTTGATATTATTCTGTGTTGACGCGCTGACGCTATTCATCGAATTCGTTTTTGTATCATTGCGTTTGCAAAATAATCGAAAATGGTAGACAAAATCGAAATGAGCCTCGACGACATAATCAAATCGGGCAAATCGCAACGCGGCCGAGGCGGTGGAAGGCGCGGAGGCCGATCTCGTGGCGGCGGTCCAGGCAATAATCCTGGCGGCAGCGGAGGTCAACGTAGAGGCAATTTCAGAAATGCCAGCCGCTCAAGCAGTGCAGGCATCCAGAGAGGCCGTGGACGCGGCGGCATCACTCGAAATTTCAACCGGGTAACTAGATTTGATGTTTTTTATAAAGAATTTTCATTTTCGAGGCTCAAGCCAGGCTGGATCGTTTTGGAATCTGCCCCCTCGATGGTTTAGATCCTGACCGATTGTTTCTTTAGGGAGACGTGAACAGTGCATGGAAGCACGATCTGTTTGAGGGGTATGGTTCCCGCAAACTGGCAGCTGCTAGAGCCACTGTTCAAGCCACAATGGGGCCCACCAAGCTCATGGTCTCGAATTTAGACTTTGGAGTCTCTGACTCTGACATACAAGAGCTGTTTGCCGAGTTTGGGCCTCTGAAAAGTGCTGCTGTGCATTATGACAGATCAGGCAGGTCACTTGGCACTGCTGATGTGATTTTTGAGAGGAGAAATGATGCCATCAAAGCCATGAAACAGTATAATGGGGTGCCCTTGGATGGAAGGGCAATGAATATCCAGCTCACTACCTCTGAAATACCCAGCCCTGGGAGGAGGCCTGTGGGAGGACTGGGAGGAGAAAGGAGGTTCCCAAATAGGAGTCCTAGGGGAGCAAAGAGTCGACCAGTTAGGGGTGAGTGCTACTAAAAACTTTTCTACCTAGTTCAAGGAAGTCTTTCTTAATATTGTGACAATTCAACTTGACAGTATTTCAAACAATAACTGAATAACTAATATAGCAACAATCTATACAATACTCATAATTTTTCTTTGATTTTGTTTAGGTCGTGGTGGTGGAGGTAGAAACTTGAGGAACACAAGAAAGCAGCCCACAGCAGAAGAGTTGGATGCTGAATTAGATGCCTACACAAAAGAAATGAAGTAGTTCATGAAAAATATATTGGTGTTTTTCTTATTCTATAGACTTTGTTTGGAGATCTAAATTTGTGTGGAGTACCTATTTTATTTGTTTTTAAGTTCTCTTTGGTCCATGAATCAAAGGTCAATTTTACCTTAATTGAAAATAATCTAATGAGATTTAGTTTCATTATTCAGGTTAGGATTAATTGATCATTTATAACTTGTTATATAAATTTTATGACTAGGATTAATGAATGTAATTTAATTTGATTACTTATTCGTTTTTTTATACCCCACCCTGTCACCTTTCAGTTTCAATTTTCAATGATTTGAATTTGAAACTAAAAGAGAACATGCAATGAAGAATTGAGTTTTATCAACCATAATCACTGCTAATATTCTTATCTAATAATTTTAAACAAATTGTATACCTAAGTTGGTATTTTTAATGTTTATTTCGTCTATGCATAGTACGGAATTTGTTCTAAAATTATTGTAATGTAAGCAATGAAATCACAGGTGGCCTTATAACCACCAGGTTCTGACGTCAGTGACCTCATTCCTTTCACTAAGAAAAGTTCTGTAGGTACCAGAAAAACTTCAAATTGACCATCTAGTTAAGTTCAGCTTGTGATGAAACTTGAGACAGAAAAAAATTTAAAAAATATCTCTTGTCTTCTTTGTTCCAACGTGAAATAATTGAAATTATTGGCAAAGAGGAACCTACTATTCTTTGTTATTGGAAATGAGCTCTTTTCTAGTTTTCAAGCTGTGTTTCTACCTTGAACGAGAGAGAGAGAGTAGAAAGTTCTCTCCTCTTCCATCTTTCTCTTCAGTGCTACCAACGTGGCCGTATTGAACTATAGAGAGATCCGATAAATCTTTCCTTGTCTGTCTACTTTGCGCCACTGAACTATTTTCGATGTTATAATGATGGGACATGTCTATGTCATAAATGTCATTGACTGTAAACCTTTCGAATTTTTCAAATGGAATTTCGAATTATATCATACTCATTTCGACTTCATTTGTTAATATCGGTGAATTTGACTCTGCTGAATTCGAAAATAGTTCATTGGCCCAAAATAGATGTCAGACAAGGACAGATTTATCGGACCTCTCTATATTTCATTGCAACTACGTTGGTATCATTGAAGAAAAAGATGGAAGAGGAGAGAATTTTCCTCTCTCTCGTTCAAGGTAGAAAAGAGCTCATTGGATCATTACAAGCGTCTAGCTAGACCAGCGAATCTTTCGAACATCGAGGTCAAGTGACGTCACCCACAACACATGATATTTCCAGCGAAGAGATAATGTCTCTTCGCTGATATTTCTTCCATGCTTATATTTAGAAACTACTACGAGTGAAGCGATAGTTCAGTGGTCTGTGTATCTGATTTTCACGTTGGTGACTAGGGTTCAAGTGAGGTTGGAAGTTCCTTTCTTCCTCATGCAGAAGAGATTTCTTTCTTAATAACCTTCTATCAACCTTGGGGTTTGAAAGATTCGCTGGTCTAGCTAGACGCTTGTCCCGAAGCTATGGCCTCTTTTATCGAAAATATTCGACATAAATGATGTAGAGTATTTGAGCAGATAGAAAACTTCAAATTGATCAAAGACGTGAGCCGTCTCACGTTTTCCCGGTATGATCTAAGTTTTCTACTCTCAATAATGGAAATTTACGACCAATTCTTACATTGACGGAGAATAAGATATCGTAGCAAGAGGCCAAATGACATGAAAATAAGAACCATATTTATCAGTTCTACCAACCCTGACCTCATGTTCGGACAATAAATAATGTTAGCCCTCATTCGAATCAACCAACGAAATCATAAGCACGTTTCATCGCGAAAGTCAAAATCGTCTAGCAGAAAACTGAGCTTCCTACCCTGATTATTCACTGTGATTTGGGCTGTGTCAAGTCTGTGGTTCGACCGGGCACATAATATCGGTCACGTTTCAAACTTGTTCACAAAGTTACCTTGTTAATAAGTATCGATTCGATAGTTCGATACCCATCTCTAACATAACATGTCAAAAATCAAAATTGTCAATTTTGGAATTTGGACTTGGAAGAATTTCTAATTACCTATTAATCCCATTATTATTGTTGAATAATTGAAAGGTGATTCGTATTGATGTTTCAATATTAATCATCAATACAGTAAAAATATACCATTGAATGTTGCATGATGAAGTCTTGTCATTTTTCATTGAGAATTTATTAATTTACCTACTAACATTATTCCCGGACGTTGAGAAATATACGCAGGCGCATGATGGCGTGGACTTGGAGTGGACATTATGCAGCATTATTTTATAAATTTTTTCTATGAAATCTCGAATTGTATTTGAATTCTCTGCTTAAAACTATAAACTATCTTTTATAATGTTTTTGAAAAAATTTCACAATAAAAAATGTCTAAATAGAGCATATTTCCTTAGTGAAAGTGGCTCTCATTGGAGCCTTGGTCAGCAAAATTATTCACACCCAGCACCCAGCGTTCAGAGGAGCGCCATTTTAGTAATATTTCGGACGTAGAGCAGCGCTGTGAATTGGCTATGCTCATCATTGAAGCTATAAGAAATGTGTCTTTTTAGGTTCTATAAAACTCGGTAAATTACAAGGATCATTGCAAGGTGAGCTAGGTTATCTATTTTGAAGGTAGTAATTTTGAAATTATATGTAGTGAAAATGTGACAAAATCCACCAGTTTGTAGTCCTGGCATTCATCATATGAATATTAGGTGTTAAGTGTGTTCTCTTTTTCAAATTGCACTTCATATCTGACATTTTAGAAACTTCTCAAATTTTAAAAATCTGTTAAATTTTCATTTCCCAACAGGTCTCTTTTGAATAAGGAAATTCGGCATGGAAAATGGTTCAAACAGTCCACTGTTAGATACTGAGCTGTTTGATAACACAGAAAATGGAGTAGGGTCCCCCATAATGGTAAAAACCTTAGATGGGGGAAATGATACTGCTGAAGCTGAAGACACAGATAAAGATGAACCAAATGAAGAGACAAGTTACTTTGAAACCACAAAAGTGAATGGAGACAATGTTACAGACAATAATAACATTGAGGACAATAATTCATATTATAGTTCAGAAAGTGATGCTCTAGTGATAGATGAAAGTGTTCCAAAAAAGTCAAAAAAACTGAGAAACAAACAGCAAAAGATCCAAGTCACTAGAAACGAAGATCAGCTGGAAGAAAACAGGGAAATTGTCACCCATTCAAATCCATTCTTCAATGAATCTTTATTTGAGTTGTCACAGCTCCATCAGACTCCTGAAGAAGAAGAATTATCCAATGACACTATTGCTGAAGGCACATCTGATGGTAGACTAAACAACAAAAAAGCCAAAGGTAAACCAAAGCCAAAACTGAGGGAGTATGCCCAGTACCTTGGCCTTCAACCTACAGTACAGTTCAAGTGTTCAAAGTGTGGTAGAGCAGGATTTGAATCTTTATCAACCCTTCAAGAGCATGTGCTTGAGTGCAATGAGGAAAATGTGCAAGAATCATCAGCTGAAAACTCCTGTTCTGGTTTCAAACTGACAAGGAAGGTATTTTTGTGTTCAGCCTGTGGGACTTATTATGAAAATTGGAACTTGTACATGCACATGTTAGAGTTCCATAGACGTTTTATATGTTTGTATTGCTTAGGGATGTTTTCAATTCTGGAGGATCTATGCCAACACATTCAGTCAAGGCATAACCTCCAACCTGGTCATAAAAACACCCTGGATGAATTTTTCAATGTGTATAATGAACCCTGTTATGTAGTTTGCTGTGAGTGTAACAAACTTTTTAGTGAGCAAGACAATTTTTTTTATCATAATTGTGTAGGTAAGGTGAAAAACAAGAAGCTGGTCAAGCAGCAAATCACACCTGAGAACCATGTTACTGGTGAGTCTGAATCTGTTCCAGAAAATAATTCCAAAGAAACTGTTGAGAAATCTGATGATATTTCAATGAACAATAATATAGGGGATGATAATAAACTTCCTGAGAGTATTGCTATGGAAACCAGTGAAAATATAACAGAGTTTAATAATGGTGCACATGATAGTGAAAGGGATTGTCAGAATTTGGAAAATAATGAAAATAGCTTGAATTGTGACACAAACCACATTGCAAAACTCATAGAAGAAAAAAATATTGAAGAAAGTGATAATTTAGATCCATCAGTAGATCATTCTGAGCATGAAGAAGATACAGAAGAAATTGAGACTACTGATATGAAAGATTTAGAAGCTGAATATTCCCCTAAATCTCATTCTATAAGTGACACAGAAGAAATTCAAGAAGAGGTTGAAAATAATAATAAAGAAATGGAATCAGTGATAGATATCCCAGTGGAAACTCGAAAAGTGCCCAAACTGTCACTAAAAATCCCCAAATTTGAGTCTTACCCAGAACCAGATCCCTATGAAAGTGAGGACAGTGATAAACTCACCATGGAAGTTGATCAAATAGAAAGTGAAAATGAAGAAACAGAACATTTGAATGAAGGTGAAGTAGTAATTAACAATATCCCAACCCCAGAACTGGAAAATGAATCAACTGAGGCAGAAGAGCCTATGAAGGAAGAGCAAAATGAAATAGCATCCAATGAACCCCATTCCCAAATAGCTGGTCCAGACATTCCAGTGATAGAACTGGAGCTGGAACAGCCCCTAGACAAATTTGATCCTTGTGTGCTGCTCCAAAAATGTTTACAAATGACAGTTTCCACTTGCATCTATTGCAACCATGCCAGAAAAATAGCAGTAAATGGCCGCCAACTAGGCTTGCACTGCATAGCAGAACACAGATTTTCTGCTGTGGTAAATAGCATAACTGCTGAAGAGCTCATACCCATGAGCTTTGTAAACAGGATAAATGAAAGCTTAATGGAACTAGAAGCTAAGTTTTTCAGCTTGGAAACTAATTTCAGCGGCGAAGCAGTGACTTTTTCACACCTTTTTGAGTGTTTCCAGTGCCACTTCAGCACTAATGTGCACAAAGAACTGTACCTGCACAACAGGAAGTTCCACTCAAAGAACTTGCTGCTTTGCATAATGTGCAAATCTAACTTTTATAGTTACAGTGAGCTTATTTGCCATTTGTGTCCAGGACAATATATCCTGGACTATGATATAAAATTCCGGTGTTGTATGTGTGTGAACGATGATTTGCCTAGTTCATTCAGGCTCATGGTGCATCTGAGAAAAAGACACAACGTTTGTGATGTTTGCTTGGAAATGTGCCACACACAGTACAGGCTTTCCAATCATGTTTGGAAGCACAAACTCCACCATTTCTGCTACCGTTGCGGCATTGCCTACCGTAACAAACCCGATATCACCAGACACTTGTTCTGGAAGCATGGCACTGAAAGCGTTTTGTGCAAAAAATGCTTGCAGAAGAAGTGGCCCCACGTGTACCACTTTTGCGTGCCTCCCGCTAGTTTCACTTGCGATGAGTGTAGCTTAATTTTCACTAAAGCGGTGTCACTAAAAGTGCACAAGAGGATTCATGGGGAGGAGAAGAAGTGGAGGTGCACTTTTGATGGGTGCCAGGATGGGTTTGTCTCCAGGAAATTGATGGAGAAGCATGAGAAGCGGCATTATGAGCCCTTGGAGGAGGTCCCCGTGGCTGATGAGAAGATGGAGAAGGATGAAGAAGAGGTTAAAGAAGAACAGGTAGGGAATTGACTAGTTGCACCATTTTCATCGGTGGCTCTCTGAATTCTCGCACGTTTCATCATGTCTCTTACAACACTCCATATTTCTTCATTTATCATAGTAAAAAGTTTCAAATAAGCAAATGGTACAGTGAACTGTATATCCGAATACCACGCCTACGGCTTCGGTTCAATCCCTGTGAGAAGTCAATTTGGTTTTAAATATACTTTTTAAAGAAAGGTTTATTTTTATGTCCAATTAGGTTAGATTGTTTTGATAAAGTAGGCGCCTTTCTTATGCAACAAGGATATTTTCCTCACCTCATATTACTTTATTACATCTTGGGAATTCAGAGAGCTACCAATGAAATTGGTATAGTTAGATGCTTGTGCCCAATGATGACACACTTACATGGTGTCCCAATACTATCAAATCTTCATTCATTTCGGCGGCAAAGTTGATTTCAAGTTTAGTATGATTTGGCATTGGTTTGAAAGTAGTGAAAAGTCACTACATCAAAAATTTTTCAGAACTTGTATTGGTAAGTACTTCACAAAACAATACCTGCCATTTCTCACTGAGTAAGAATTTTTAAAATTTTTGCTAGATTGGCGACAATATGGTACAGTAGCCGTGGAAACTGATGCCAGTTATTTTTAATAAATAATTTGAAACATTGGTATCTCTTCATGAGGTTCAAAAAACACATATACTTTTTACATTACATTTTGAGGTTAATCTTCTTGATTTTCCTAGTCTCAACTTTGCCCTTTCATTCACAGTATCAGCTTATACTATTAAATAGATAATTGGGACCACTTCAAAGGTAGTACTGAACGGATTTTATCCATTTTTATGTTCAATCATTCCTTATCTTAATTTGACCTGACAGTTTTTGATGTTACCATCTTGAAAAAAAAAATCGCTTATAATATATATTTCCATGAGCATTTGTGTTTCATAATTATTACTTCATCAAAGAAAAAAAACATGAAAATGATCAAGGAGTCCTTTGGAACCCTTCAGGTGGAATCTGAAACGGCAGAAATCGGCGCGGATGCGGAAAAACCCGAAGAAAAACCGAAACAGATGATCGATGTTCTGGATCTGCCGGCTTTGAATCTCTCGGAGAGCGATAGCAGCGACTCTGAACCGGAAGTGGATCGGCCAAAAACGCAAGAAGAGGAAACGTCAATACCTATCGTTCACGATACGGAAATCGACCCTCCCGGGGATTTACCGCCCCTGGACATACTCCAAGAAGACGTCAAGCAATATGTCGATGAGGATTCGGCAGTGCTGGTGAGTTTCAAAAGTTGTAAAATTTCATGAGCAATGCGAATTCAAATTGGAATGATCATAATTTATTGTTTTATGTTGATTGTTCTTTTTGTTTGACTGACTTAACATATTGAAGGAAATTCAAGAGAAGAAGAATGTCATTTGAAAGAATTACTGAAAGTAATCCCGATTTTCGAATATTTGTCTCCTGCGCCGCCATTTTCAGAACAAATGTCCACTTGTGATATGTCATTGAAAAAGTAATTATTCCTTCTATCGAATGAGGTAAAAATATATAGAGGGTTCAGTTCAAAATTCTCATCCTAGGTCGATTTCCGGTAAAACCGGAATGATATTCAATTGTTTTTCCACGAAATATGGGTTTGAAGCAACTGAATTTTTGTTCAAAATGTCAGAAGTCTAACATAAAAAAACAAATGGATGACGCCCTGGCCAATGATTTCGTTGACACTGGGTACATTTGTATTATTTGGTATTCAAGGTTTCTTCTAAATAATCTAGTTCGATGAATATTTTAAACTTCAAAAGCTTGGCTTAGCGATAAAGGAGTTTCCATTTTTGAAGCTTGAGTGACTGAATTCCCCAATATGTCTATTGCATCATAATCTAGTTTGTATAATCATGTGATGACTCGAAGGATTTCAGTGGATGATCAAGTATTGCAATTCGAAATAAATCAGTAAATAATGGATACATTCAGGTTATTTCAAATCTTTGTTTCTTAAAAGCATCCGGACGGGCCCTCGGAAGAGGAGAACCCCTCGGCCGTCATCCAGACCATATGGGACAACTTCAAGAGCTACCAGCAGAGCAAGCAGAAGCTGGACATGTTCTTGGACACGGACAAAGCGGAGCAAGACAATGTGGAAAATGTCGAAGATATTCCGGTGCCTATCGTGGAGGAGCTGACCACTGAGACTGCTCTGAGAGATCATGATTATTGTGTGGAACTGGAGAAGAAAGATACCACTTTGGTAGAGGTTAGTACGGTATTGATCGCTTTTACTCACTTTATCGATCCGTAAATCAACTATAAATACAACACTTCTTCATTTTACTTCCTCATATAAATATATAATCCTTCCCTCAATGATCTTGACAATGTAGAGAAAATGCGAGAGTGGTCGTACTTGTGCCATTTATTGTCATCATTATCATTAATAATTATTCAAAATCATCAATCAATTCAGTCTCGGTCAAAGGGTCGTAAAGGAACGCATTCTCGTTGATTTTGCAGGTGAAACCCGCTTGAACGAGAGCATCGACCACGATTACTGTTTCGATAAATCTGAGGGCACGATTGCCGAAAAAACACCGTTTGAACCCCTCATACAATCAGAAGACGCCGAATTGGCGCCCAACGTGGGGTATTCCAAATGAAATTCTTCCAGGTCGAGCACCCACTCGTATTCGTCGAACTGCTCGGGCATCTCGAATCGCATCATTAATAAAAAAATTTCAAGGCGAAGAAAAAATATTTCCCTTATTTTTCACAGCACAACACAGAACAAAGCTGCAGATTTTTCTCTGCAACCTTCCACGATCCAAAATAAATGCCATAAATCGTTAAACGTGAAACATACAATAACATTTTGAACTTTTCAATGGTCTTGACTCTAAAAGTCTAGACAAACTCTTGTAGAACTTGATTCGCGGTCGCCAAGGTCATTAGATGACGTTGCGGTGACATTCAAAACTACTCCTGGCATGGATTGGAAGCTAGACATGTTTTCCCGTAGTTTTCAATATCATCAGAACGTCATCTGATGACCTTGGCGACCGCCAGTACACATATAATGAGGGATCTTTAAGAGGCCATGAAGGAATGCATTTTCGTCGATTTCTCAGGTGAAACCCGCTTTGAACGAGAGCATCGACCACGATTACTGTTTCGATAAATCTGAGGGCACGATTGCCGAAAAAAACACCGTTTGAACCCCTAATACAATCAGAAGACGCCGAATTGGCGCCCAACGTGGGGTATTCCAAAGGAAATTCTTCCAGGTCGAGCATCCACTCGTATTCGTCGAACTGCTCGGGCATCTCGAATCGCAGCATTATTAAAAAAATTTCAAGGCGACAAAAAAATATCTTCCTTATTTTTCACAGCACACACAGAACAAAGTTGCATATTTTTCTCTGAAACCTTCCACGAGCCAAAATAAATGCCATAAATCGTTAAACGTGAAACATACAATAACATTTTGAACTTTTCTATGGTCTAAACTCTAAAAGTCTAGACAACTTCTTGTAGAACTTGATTCGCGGTCGCCAAGGTCATTAGATGACGTTGCAGTGACATTCAAAACTACTCCTGGCATGGATTGGAAGCTAGACATGTTTTCCCGTAGTTTTTAATATCATCAGAACGTCATCTGATGACCTTGGCGACCGCCAGTACACATATAATGAGGGATCTTTAAGAGGCCATGAAGGAATGCATTCTCGTCGATTTCTCAGGTGAAACCCGCTTTGAACGAGAGCATCGACCACGACTACTGCTTCGCCAAATCCGAGGGCACGATCGCCGAAAAACCACCCCTCGAACCCATCACGAAACCACCAGATAACCCTGAATTGGCGCCCAACGCGGGGCATACCAAGGGCCATTCTTCCAGCTCGAGTACCGACTCGGATTCGTCGAGCTGCTCGTGCGGTTCGAATTGCAGCTGCAGCTCGAGCTCGGGCAGCTCGAGTTCGAGCTCGGACAGCTCGAATTCCGATAGCTCGACGGAGGAGGGTAGGAAGAAGCAGCTGGCCAGAAGGGCGAAGAGGAAGGAGAGGGCGAAGAAGCTGAAGGCGGCGGCGGCGGTGAAGGAAACGACGGCGACGACGAAAGGTGAGTTGGTTTATACTTGATATGATATTTTCAAATTATCGTAAAAGAATTATTAGATTCCTACGACAAATAAATTTCACTTCGCTCACTGATCTCGGTATCGAGAAAACGCGATAGTCATCAATAACTATTTGAAATCTCCAATCAACAGTCTTGAGTAGTTAAAACCAACACTGAGAAAAATGGGGATTTTAAGGCACCACATATTTCTTCGAACCTTTCTCTAGTGAAAATAACTGTCATGAATTCATTTTTTTTTTTTTCGCTTTTTCAGTTGAGAATCTAGTCGATGTGGTGGCCACAGATACTTCTCCGGTGATTATCGAACCGCCCATCAGGGAATCCGACTTGGACACGACCGAAAGCGAGACGGACGAGGAGTTCTACGACGAGGCGCCGCAAAAGATCGCCAAAAAGATCCTGGACGAGAAGCGGCAGCAATTGTTGGAGCTGATGGGGCCGAACAGCGTGCCCGATGGCGGGTTCATCGAGAGCACCAGCAGACCGCCCACGCCTCCAGCAGGTAGTAGAACAAAACATCTAATATACACTGTGTCATTCATAAAGTCGGCATCATATGGGAAAAACTTTTATTAACGACTTATTTTGGGGTTCGAGTTGGACGTTAAGTTTTTCTTCAAAAAAGATGCAAAACGGCCTACTCAATCGGGGTCACGTGACTTTCGCTACATGTCAAAAGTGACATTTTTCCAAATTAATCGCTGAAACTAGGCTTATTTGTTCGAATATCGTAGATATACAGGGTGGGCCACCAGTAACGCCTCGGTCTCTAGAAGGCTAACCACTTATCCTCTTGGAATTCTTCCTCTCTAGGAAGTTGCATGTCAACATAGGCTACCATTTGAAATTATTTCGAAACATACAGGATGTCCCCAAAAATCACAAAACATTGAAGTTGAACTTTTTTCTATCGAACACCCTATATAATATTTCATTTTGAGATTCTCCCTGATGAGCTGATTTCAACGACCCATCATACTTGGGGTCTAGCAGTTATAATTACTGAGATATGGGGTGTGAAAAATCGAGATTTTCCAAGTTCAAGAATTTTTTGTGTCTAAACCATTCATAATTGGTCAAAACGGCTCACATGTCCCTATCTCAACTTTTGATCAACTATCTACTGACATTTAATTGAAACAAATACAGGGTGGTGCAGAATTCAGAATCTTGATCACGCGGTATATGTCCCAATTAAATATCAGTAGATAGTTAATCAAAAGTTGAGATAGGGACATGTAAGCCGTTTTGACCAATTATGAATAGTTTCGACACAAAAAATTCTTGAACTTGGAAAATCTCGATTTTTCACACCCTATATTTCAGTAATTATAACTGCTAGACCCCAAGTATGATGGGTCGTTGAAATCAGCTCATCAGGGAGAATCTCAAAATGAAATAATATATAGGGTGCTCGATAGAAAAAAGTTCAACTTCAGTGTTTTATGGTTTTTGGGGACACCCTGTATGTTTCGAAATAATTTTAAATGGTAGCCTATGTTGACATGCAACTTCCTAGAGAGGAAGAATTCCAAGAAGATAAGTGGTTAGCCTTCTAGAGACCGAGGCGTTACTGGTGGCCCACCCTGTAGAGGGTGTCCAAAAAGTATAAATTTTAAAAATCGCCTTGTATCTCATAAACGGAAACAGTCTCGCAAAATCTGATTAAGCCATCTTGAGTTTCACAAAAAAGTGGCACAGGACCGCGATAACCGCAGGATTCTATCTCCAAAGATAACTGAGATATCACGCAAAAGCATCGAAAACTGGACACACTGTACATGAGCCAAGCGACATCCTGTATCCTGTATGTTTCCTCTTACAAACCGGCATCGTTTCAGGCGTGGTCGAGGAAGAAGAACGCAAAAAGAAAAAGTCCAAATCGAAGAAGAAGAAGAAACGAAAGAGCGAACGCAAAGACCAAGAACGCCACGCCGACCGATCGGCCATCACCACCGCAGCCAGCATAATATCGCCCGACATCCCGATACCACCCTACTACCAGCAATTCCACCAGCAGCTGCAGCTCAACCAGCAACCGACCATTCCGACCGCTATCCCCACCACCGACGTTGCCGCGACGCCGCCATCACCGATGGCGCAGACGCCGAAAGGTGCGCAGAAGGGTGCGGGACGTCGGGACGATTCCAGTTTGCGCGCGTCGAAAAGGAGGAGAGTGCCCAACAAGTTTTACGGGTATTCGAGCGATGAGGAGCAGGAGAAGGACAGGCCGCATCACGTGGCCAAGTGGAGGAAGGTCGAGGTGAGTATCGAAAAATTGATATATCGATAAGTATCGAGATAGCGATATATTCATAAGTAACTAAATATCGATATATCGATAACTATTCATAACTATCTATATATTGGTGCATTGATTACCATTAATATATCGATGACTATCAATTTTGTCTCAAGATATCGGTAAAAATCTTTCGTGATATCCAGACAAAAGTTACAACGAGAGAGACAGAGCTAGAGAGAGAGAGAGAGAGAGAGAGAGAGAGAGAGAGAGAGAGAGAGAGTGTGCGTGTGTGTGTGTGAGAGAGAGAGTGTGTGTGTGAGAGAGAGAGAGCTAGAGAGAGGGAGAGCCAGAGAGGGAGAGCTAGAGAGAGAAATAGCTAGAGAGAGAGAGCTAGAAAGAGATCTAGGGAGAGCGAGAGAGCGAGCTAGAGAGAGCGAGCTAGAGAGAGCGAGCTAGAGAGAGCGAGCTAGAGAAGGAGAGAGCTAGAGAGAGCGAGCTAGAGAAGGAGAGAGCTAGAGAGAGACAGAGAGCTAGAGTGAGAAAGAGCTAGAGAGAGAGGGAGCTAGTGGGAGAGAGAGCCAGAGAGAGAGCTAGAGGGAGAACTAGAGAGAGAAAGCTAGAGAGAGAACTAGAGAGAGAGAACTAGAGAGAGGGAGCTGGAGAGAGAGAGAGAGAAAGAGCTAGAGAGAGAAAGAGAAAGAGCTAGGAAGAGAGGGAGCGAAAGAGAGAGAGAGCTAGAGAGAGATAGAAAGCTAGAGGTAGATAGAGAAAGAGAGCTAGAGAGAGATAGAGAAAGAGCTAGAGAGAGATAGGGAAAGGGCGCTAGAGAGAGATAGAGAAAGAGAGCTAGAGAGAGATAAAGAAAGAGAGCTAGAGAGAGATAGAGAAAGAGAGCTAGAGAGAAAGAGAGCTAGAGAGAGATAGAGAAAGAGAGCTAGAGAGAGATAAAGAAAGAGAGCTAGAGAGAGATAGAGAAAGAGAGCTAGAGAGAAAGAGAGCTAGAGAGATATAGAAAAAGAGAGCTAGAGAGAGATAGAGAAAGAGAGCTAGAGAGAGATAGAGAAAGAGAGCTAGAGAGATGGAGAGCTAGAGAGTGATAGAGAAAGAGAGCTAGAGAGAAAGAGAGCTAGAGAGAGATAGAGAAAGAAAGCTAGAGAGAAAGAGAGCTAGAGAGAGATAGAGAAAGAGAGCTGGAGAGAGATAGAGAAAGAGAGCTAGAGAGAGATAGAGAAAGAGAGCTAGAGAGAGATAGAGGAAGAGAGCTAGAGAGAGATAGAGAAAGAGAACTAGAGAGAGATAGAGAGAGATAGAGAAAGAGAGCTAGAGAGAGATAGAGAAAGAGAGCTAGAGAGAGATAAAGAGAGCTAGAGAGAGATAAAGAGAGCTAGAGAGAGATAGAGAAAGAGAGCTAGAGAGAGAGATAGAGAAAGAGAGCTAGAGAGAGATAGAGAAAGAGAGCTAGAGAGAGATAGAGAAAGAGAGCTAGAGAGAGAGATAGAGAAAGAGAGCTAGAGAGAGAGATAGAGAAAGAGAGCTAGAGAGAGATAGAGAAAGAGAGCTAGAGAGAGATAGAGAAAGAGAGCTAGAGAGAGATAGAGAAAGAGAGCTAGAGAGAGATAGAGAAAGAGAGCTAGAGAGAGATAGAGGAAGAGAGCTAGAGAGAGATAGAGAAAGAGAACTAGAGAGAGATAGAGAGAGAGAGATAGAGAAAGAGAGCTAGAGAGAGATAGAGAGCTAGAGAGAGATAGAGAGCTAGAGAGAGATAAAGAGAGCTAGAGAGAGATAAAGAGAGCTAGAGAGAGATAGAGAAAGAGAGCTAGAGAGAGAGAGCTAGAGAGAGATAGAGAAAGAGAGCTAGAGAGAGATAGAGAAAGAGAGCTAGAGAGAGATAGAGAAAGAGAGCTAGAGAGAGAGATAGAGAAAGAGAGCTAGAGAGAGAGATAGAGAAAGAGAGCTAGAGAGAGAGATAGAGAAAGAGAGCTAGAGAGAGATAGAGAAAGAGAGCTAGAGAGAGATAGAGAAAGAGAGCTAGAGAGAGATAGAGAAAGAGAGCTAGAGAGAGATAGAGAAAGGGAGCTAGAGAGAGATAGATAAAGAGAGCTAGAGTGAGATAGAGAAAGAGAGCTAGAGAGAGATTGAGAAAGAGAGCTAGATAGAGAGAGAGAGCTAGAGAGAGATAGAGAAAGAGAGCTAGAGAGAGATAGAGAAAGAGAGCTAGTTAGAGATAGATAGAGAGAGAGAGATAGAGATAGATATAGAGAGAGAGAGAGAGAGAGAGAGAGAGAGAGAGAGAGAGAGAGAGAGAGAAGTGGACTTTTCGGCACGATCGTAAGGAGACGTTCTTCCAACACCCTGATCATCTTTTATTCATCAGACTCCGCAAACGCCCAGATCGCCAATGGTCGTCCCGCCCATCACCCTCAAAACGACGGTTGCCGCCCCACCTCCCGCCCAAACGCCCCCTGCCACGCCCAAAGCCCCGCCCAAACAGAAAGCCCCGCCCAGACCCGCCCCTCAACCGACCGTCGAGCCGATCTCCATTCGAACCGCCGCCCACCTGAGCGATTTCCGGGTGCGGAAACCGAGGCCACGCCCATCGATACCGGCCATCCGGTTGGTGGGAAAATTAGGGGGCGGAGGCGAGGACGATAGCGAGGATTCGAACGATTCGAGCGAGGAGGAGGAGGTGCCGCCGGCGCCGAAGCCCGCGCAGCCGCAGTTGTATTGTTATTGCCAGTGTCCGTACGATGAGGTGAGTGGTTAATGTCGGTTTTGTTATACATCTACTAACAGTTTATGAGGTCGGAATGCCAAAAATGCATAGATTTGCACAGTTTTCTATTATGTAAAAACACTGTGGTACTGTTTTGCTAACATTCAAAGATTTGCCACCAAATCTTTGATTGTTCTCTCTACCTTGGAAATACAATTTTCTATACTTTGAATTTGATGACATTGTCGAGGATTATGGGGAAATAACTATAAATCCGGCTCGCAGGATCACAATGTTGAGGATGACCTTTGGTGAACTAACTATGAATCCGGCTGGAATGCAAAAAATGCATTGATTTGCAGTTTTTTCATAATATGTAATGACACAAGTGGTACTGTTCAGCTAACATTCGAAGATTTGCCACCAAATCTATGATTCTTCTTTTCACCTTTCTCTATCTTTCCTTGGAAATCTAAAATATAATTTTTTTCTTTACTAAAAATTTGATGACATTGTCGAGGATTACCTATTAATCCGGCTCGAAGGACCACATTATTGAGGATGACCTCTGGGGAATTACTATTGATCCGGCTCGAAGGACCACAATGTTGACGATAACCTTCGGGGGAATAACTATTAATCTGACTCGAATGACCATATTCAAGATAAATGCTCCTTCTATTTTCTACAAATAATCCATAAAATTTACTATTTGACTTTTATTTAGAACTATTTATAATGTCTCTGCTCTATTATGTTTTTCCTATAGCAGTAGGATTGACATAAAACGATTTGCACTTTTTTGTAATCACAATAAAAGTGCTTGCATCTGGAATGACTTTTGACAACTGCAACAGGTTATTTCCATGAAAACAATGCTAGAAGATATACAGGGTGGAGACTTTAACTGGAATAAATTCGCTACTGGGGGATTTCGACTTTTAATATAATAACTGGAATATAATAGCACATAGCAATTGTAGCAAAAAATTGCCATCAATTGTTCAACACACATTTTGAGCGTTTGATACGTTGAAAAAAAAAATTTTAAATTACTTTTAAATTTTATGCAACCTTTAAACCCAGCTTTAAACGTATGAAAAACTAAAATTTGACTAGTTTGCTGAATTCCTATTTCCACCAGCTTTCCAATGAAGGGTCACAAACCAAAAATCATGTTGAGGGTGATTTAAGCTACCCCTGGAGGAAAATATTTTCGATATTGCTTACAAAAAGTAGGTAAATACATTAAATCGTTGAGGTATGTCGGGAATTTCCAGAAAAAATATTCACCTCCCCGCTAACGAATTTATTCCAGTTAAAGTCTCCACACTGTATCATCTGTCAGTTGTCTAAACTTAGCAGTGTTGCCAATGCCAACTACGTCAATTGTAGAAAGATTGTCACCTCAAACTAACTTCGGAATTTCGACGCGATTTCAGGTTTCCGAGATGATCGGATGCGATGCGACCGATTGCGCCATTGAATGGTTTCATTTTGAGTGCGTGGGCATCATGGTTCCGCCCAAAGGGCAGTGGTACTGCCCAGATTGCAGGAAGAAAAAGGCGAGACGGGAACTCATGCAAACCATGAGGAACAACTGAAAACAAAACGGGAAATTTGTGCTCTTTTGCTCGGCTTTCTGTCAAACTTAACTTTTGCCCAATGTTGCGTCACTAATGGAATATTCGATGCAAATATCTATTGGCCCCATTGTGAGAAAATTCATCTTCTCTTTTTGTTCTTCAGGGTTTCAACGTGAAATAATTGAATTCGTTCGTTGGTTACTTCATACACAAGGAGATGACTATTCTAACCTCGATTCTTAGTCATTAGTTCCTTTCGATTTATTTGGGACACCCTTGAGATGTACCTGAGATCGCCTCGTAATCTGTATGGTTTTGATATTTAAGCTACGTCCACCTCGGATTGGTTTTAACCAAGGTGGATATAATATGGTGTAATCACACAGTGTTTCGTTTCTCCCAGAACGCTTGACCGCAGATTCCCCAATAATGGCTTATTAGTTCTCAGTTGTCCGCAAGATGGCAACACTTTTTACAGATTTCTTTCATGACAGAAAACGGCGCTTACTCACCACTTGCACCAGAAATAATAATATCATAACATTCATAACATAACCTCAAATCAAATGAGATTAAATTTGAAAGTATGAAACCGTAATTTTGGAGAATTTTAATCATCATCAGTTCTAACAACCCTGAATTTTGGTTGCGATTTCGCCATCTAACGGGTAAAACGCGACCTATATTCCGCGATATTGAAAAGAATCCTTCTGTCAAGTAGGCTGTAGGTCAAGAACATTGACCGAAAAACAGTAGATGGGTTTTGATAGAGTTTCTACACCATCTTCTGTTCATCCTGGTTTCAACTGAAGATTTTCACGCTGAGGGTATTTTTATGGGCTATAGGTCGCGTGCACGACCGACTGTTTTCATTTGTTTACAGAGGAATCAAAGGATTGAAATAGTTTTTCACAATATTTTGGCAAATGAATCGTGTTTTCTCGCTATTCATTAATTCAAGCATGTTTTCTTATTGTGCTGTTGTACAAAATGCAGCGAGAGACGAAGGAATATGATTTCTCGAGTAAATAGTACCATCACATAGTTCTCATGAAATTTCGTCATTTTTTATTAAAATTCCTTCTGCCACTTCTGCAATAGAAGCTAATACTGTTAAAAGATTGAGAACGTCTACAACATACACGATCATATTTTGTCAGCAAGTCAGACCAGTTCTCCCGTTTGATTGCATAGATCCAATCTTCTTGCATTCTTTTAGAAACTTCACGACTATTCCTATTAGCTCCTATCGCAGAAGAAATTCCGATGAGAAATCGGAGAAATTACGAAATTTGAAAATGAAAACTATGTGAGTGACTAGGAGGTACATACTTTTAAATCATAATGTACCAACCGGATTCCTTCGTCTCCCGCTGCATTTTTATGCATTGTACAACAGCACAATGTGATGGCATGCGCGATTTATTGAATAGCGGAAAAACACGATTCGTATGCCAAAATAATTGTGAAAAACTATTTCAATCACTTGTAAACAAATAAGAAAAGTGAGGTTGTGTTTCAATGTTTCACCTCCAGGGTCAGTCATTTGACAGTTCTTGCACGCAACCCATGGAAGTTGGTGAGAAGGATAGCACAGTATAAAAAAGGCTAGAATAGTCTTCTTCTTATTTCTTGTGTAACCAACCCGGCATTTTCATCATTTCACGTTGGAACCCTGAAGACAATGACAGAAGAGGAAGATTTTTTCTCTCTCAACGCTGGTTGGCCAAAAATAGAAAGGGGGAGTAGATGAGCCGCAAGAGATCTAGCTAAATGCCCCAACATTTCCCCAAATAGATATTCAACTTGAAAATTCTAGGTTTAAGGCAACGAAAACGATCATCTTTGATAGATCATGGAACGCAAAGTCAGAGAAGCATGTCATGGAACGTCAAAAATCAGCCTACAACACATCTATCGACCATCACAAAGCATATCGAATTTGACGTATAAATACACGATCTGTGATACGTCAATACGTGTGTTGACTGAATGACAATTCGTTTTGTGATGTTTTTCGACTTGGCGTTTTGTCATCTGTAAAGGGTAATCACGTGGTCGTGACGTGCTTTAGATGACCATGAAAAGCGCCATTTTTGTTATTTTAGACCTGCCGTTCTAGATGCCTTGTCCATTTGAAAATTATAAACAGATTTTAGTTTCCGTGTACGTGTCTTAAAAAAATCGTGGCTAGCTGTAACTCCGCCATTTTTTATCCTACTTCTTCTTCTTTTATAGTTCTTGGTTTTCTGACTCCTTGCGGTGGTGTTTATCAGACTCAAAAGTAAGAAAAAACTAGTTTGATGGTTTGAAAAACTATACAAATTAGTACAAATATCATTTTTATTTCAACATCAACTGAAGCACAAACAATTTTTATTTTAGATGGAATGATATATTTCTTGCCACATTAAATTCAGCTTTTTTTTTTCTTGAAATTCAACTATGTATCACAAGTTGAGAATTGGGTAAAGTTTTTTTTTTCAGATATCCTATACAAGGTGTACTGTATTTCAGTCACCCATTTCTATTTTTGACGACTCAACATTAAATCTTGCGATTAAATGGGCATGTAACAGAAGTAACTGATTTTTTATAGCCGTATAATCGAGCAAATGGAGAATCCTGTTTTGTACAGGGTGTGTCAGTAGTTTTTCAGCAGTTTTAAATAGTGAATGGCATTAAACAAGTGTTATGGACAATAAGTTTTGTTGTATGATTGAATTTGACATTAACAATGCACTCGTGACCATAATACTTCGTTAGAATACAGGGTAGGGTGTATTTTGAGTGTTATTTTTTTGTTTTGAATGATGAAACTTGTATGTGTTGAGAAAAATTCTTTTTTTTTTTGTTTTGTTCTGGAACTGATGATTTTCAATCTACTTAAAGGGGATCTGAGAAACGAAAAAAAATTGGCTTAGAACTTAGATTGATTATGAACTATTTTTATTATTGTTTTGTTAGAATTTTTCGAGATGAAGATGCTAACATCCTGTATATTATCTTATTTATAGTCGTTGATGAAGTGAATGAAGATTTCGTTATTTTTTATTTATTCTTCATATGTTATCAAGAAATAATCATTATTTACCTATCTCCAGGAAATAATTACGAAAAAAACAATGACTGACAAAAATGTTTTCAACTGTTCACTTGTCATTGGTGCTAATTTTTCGGTCTAGATTGATAATTTAATAACTAGAAACTTGATATGAATTTCAATATAAACTAGAAAAACAAAACAAGTTACATTTTTGCTAATTTGATTGTTCTCGTGAATTGCTCTCAATTTTTTTGTTAGGTACAGGGTGATTCACCATAAATGTCCCCCCCTCTAGCTCACTTATTTTTGAACCGTTTTAAAAAGTTGAAAAATAATCTGAAATGATTTCTCGGATTTTTTTTTCCGTTGCATCAGAATATACAGGGTGCAACGGAAAAAAACTTTATCGGAAAATCATTCAAGATGATATTCCAAATTTTGAAATCGGTTCAAAAATAACTGAGCTAGAGGGGGGGACATTTATGATGAATCACCCTGTACATCATATCGAATTTTTTGAGAATCGGTTGCTTCGAAAGTTTCTAGATATTTCTAGTCTCGATTTCAATCTAGTATAAAAATTAGTGAGTATCAAAATATTTGACCAATTTCGAGAATAAAGTGAAACTTACGAAAATTTCCTAGATGTACTTTCCACAAAGCCCCTGTATAAACTTTTCCAAATGTTTATTCTGAAAGAATTGAACACATCTCAGCATAATTTTTTTTCACTGGTTTATTTTGGAGCTACAGCTGAAGGATATCAATTTTTCAGAAAATCAATGAACAATTGTAATTGATTGTAAATAAAATATTAATTAAGGAACCTGTACCTGTAAATAATCTTAACTTACCTTATGTGATTTTACTGGAAATAATTAATTAATAATGATGATGACTTTAGGTTAAGGAATTTTTCGAATAAGCTCCCATTGAATTATGTAAAATAATTGATACTGAAGACACAATTGTTTTAGGATAGTTGCCAAATTATTATCTGTATATCGTTCTGTATATAGGTACCAGTTATTTTATTTTGAGATGTTAGTGCTCTCTCTGGAGGAGAGAGGTTATTTCCATTTGTTTTTGTTAGTAGTGTAGAGTTGGACCTGGAATATTGGCATATTTAAGTTTTCTCCTGTATATTTCCAATGTCAATAAATCATCCAAAGATGAATCAGTGCTGTTTCATTTCAGTTATGAAATCATCTAATGATTGCCAGTTTCAAACTGACAATTTTACTTTCAAACCGTTGCCAGTTCTGGACTCATTTGCCAGTTTCAAAATGACAATAACCAGTTTTAAAATAATTTTAAGAATCGCCAGTTTTGAAACCAAAAAATACTTGAAGATTTCAACTTATAATTGCCAGTTTCAAATTGATTGCTAATTTTAAGAATCGCCAGTTTTGAAACCGAGAAATACTTTAAAAAAATAGTTGAATCAAATAGACGATTTCGAGTATTGAACTCATAATAATTATAGGTGCCATTTTTTAACTGAAAATTAATGTACCTACTTTAAAACTTACAATACGAGTTTTGAAACTGAAAATTGTAACTAACAACTATTGCCATATTCAACCTAGTAATAGTTTTAAACTGACAAATTGTTAATTTTCAATTGAATTGACAGTTTTAAACTAATAATGGTCAGTTTTGAATTTGGTATTGTCAGTTCTAAACTAACGATCGAAAGTTTTCAAGTAACAATTATTACCGGTTTCCAATAAGCAATAACCAGTTTCGGATTAGCATTAGCAATTACCAGTTTTGAACCTGTTTGGGACTCATAATGATTGTTAATTTTGTATTGAATTGCCAGTTTTGAACTAATAATGGTCAGTTTTAAATTTGGTATCGTCACTTCTAAACTGACGATCGAAAGTTTTTTAAGTAACAATTATTAACGGTTTCCAACAAGCAATCACCAGTTTCGAATTAGCAATAACCAGTTTTGAAACAGTTTGGGACTCATAAAAATTGTTGATTTTGAATTGAATTACCAGTTTTGAACTAATAATGGTCAGTTTTAAATATGGTATTGTCAGTTCTAAACTGACGAACGAGAGTTTTTTAAGTAACAATTATTACCGGTTTCCAAGAAGCAATCACTAATTTCGAATTAGCAATTACCAGTTTTGAAACAGTTTGGGACTCATAAAAATTGTTAATTTTGAATTGAATTGCCAGTTTTCAATTAATAATGGCCAGTTTCAAATTTGGTATCGTCACTTCTAAACTGACGATCGAAAGTTTTTTAAGTAAGAATTATTACCGGTTTCCAACAAACAATCACCAGTTTCGAAGTAGCAATAACCAGTTTTGAAACAGTTTGGGACTCATAAAAATTGTTGATTTTGAATTGAATTACCAGTTTTGAACTAATAATGGTCAGTTTTAAATATGGTATTGTCAGTTCTAAACTGACGAACGAGAGTTTTTTAAGTAACAATTATTACCGGTTTCCAAGAAGCAATCACCAGTTTCGAATTAGCAATTACCAGTTTTGAAACAGTTTGGGACTCATAAAAATTGTTAATTTTGAATTGAATTGCCAGTTTTCAATTAATAATGGCCAGTTTTAAATTTGGTATCGTCACTTCTAAACTGACGATCGAAAGTTTCTCAAGTAAGAATTATTACCGGTTTCCAACAAGCAATCACCAGTTTCGAATTAGCAATTAACAGTTTTGAACCAGTTTGGGACTCATAAAAATTGTTGATTTTGAATTGAATTGCCAGTTTTCAATTAATAATGGTCAGTTTTAAATTTGGTATCGTCACTTCTAAACTGACGATCGAAAGTTTCTCAAGTAAGAATTATTACCGGTTTCCAACAAACAATCACCAGTTTCGAATTAGCAATTAACAGTTTTGAACCAGTTTGGGACTCATAAAAATTGTTGATTTTGAATTGAATTGCCAGTTTTGAACTGATAATGGTCAGTTTTAAATTTGGTATTGTCACTTCTAAATTGACGATCGAAAGTTTTTCAAGTAAGAATTATTACCGGTTTCCAACAAGCAATCAACAGTTTCGAATTTGCAATAACGAGTTTTTAACCAACTTTTACCAGTTTTCAATAGACAAATGCTGGTTTTAAACTGACAACTGCCACTTCCAAATTAACAGTTGTCCCTTTCTGACGCTGACGACAATAATTGCATGACAGTTCCAAATATGCAACTGTCATTTGACAACATAACTGTTACAGTTTCTCACAATTCACATAAAATCTGAGAAATGTCGCTTAATAAAAATATGCAGAATTGAAAAAATAGTATATATATATTATAATACACATGGAAATAGGAGTATTGACTTATCAACTAAGCATAAAGTCACTGAAGTTTTATTCTAATATCTATTGGAGGTCATGTTTTGATGCATATCTGAATTCAGATTGGAATAAAAACTACAAAACAGACAAAAAAAAAAACAAAATAAATATGTCTATAGGTAATTGAACTACCTACACCTAATGACTAAATATGAGCCTAAGTTCTGGAGGAGTCACTCAAATAATAAGTGAACAAAAAAAAATATCAATAAGCCTGAACACTAACTACATAGGTAAAATTTTCTAACACTTTTGATTATTGGAGATATATCTTTGGCACGTGAAATGTGACGTATAGATTCACTAAACATTATTGCTTACTCAGGTACACCTAATATCAAGTGTCCAAAATGGCCGAAGCGGCCAACTCCACGTTCCAATTGGTCTGTTGCAAGGCCGCTTCACAACGAGCTCTGTCCGCCAAACCTAACCTAAAACATAGGCTGAGTTCGTCTTTGAATTCTAAAAAGCGCATGCGTCAACAATAGAAAATATGTAGGCCAAACTAGGAGACCCAGCAAACCTAGGTTCAAAGAACATCTTCCAACAGAGAAATTGTAATTCGTGTGAAGGATTAAAAAAAAAGGGATTTGGATATTGTCGAAATGGCGTAATGTAAGAGTTACCTACTAATTACCTGCAAAGTTTGTCGATTTTGAGCGTTTTAACTGTCAATGCGACATCCCAACCGCACGATTGCAAAGCTGAAAGACACTGATCTGCATCCGCATCGGGAACGCAGTCTCTCACTTGACTGATTTTATTGCTTCGGTACTCTGACGTCATCAGTCTTTCTGCGTCTGCTGTAAGCTAATAAAAAAGCAAAATATTAACATTATAACAAAAACTAGAAACCAAAGAATGGAAGTGTTGTACTTCGTGCAAGATAATTTATTCAAATTTATACTCGTAGCAGTCGCTGTTAAGTCATCATCAGTGCATACCTGTAAGGAAGTAATCTGCTTCTAGCTCAATTGGAAGTTTTTTTGAAAATTGAAAAGTTAAGTTCCGTTTTTGTCGCTGGAAAAGTTAGGGCAAACTTTTTTCGCTGTCATAATGACCAAATTTCGCGGCTTGTCTGATTTTTTATACATGAACTAAATGTCAATAAAAAATGTTCACTGCAATCTTCGTGGCTTTAATTTAATCAGTGAATGCAGTGAAGTAGTGCAAAAATGGATTCTTGAAAATACTTTTTTGAAGTGTACGATTTTTTTTGTTTAATTCACCACTATGTATATCGGAAACCAGGCAATTTCGAACTGAGGTAAATTCCTTTAGATCGACTTATTCTGACCTCAGGACCATGTGCTGAGATTTTATACAGACCTTTTTGGGGACACCCTGTATAACCGAACATTTCATCACTACTGAGAACAAAATAGAAAATTCAGCAGAACCCACCTGTCCCTGTTGCAATTTCCTCTGTATCTGTTGCATGCTGAGCGGTTGCATCCGAGTAGGCTTTGTCGGAGCAGGCCTGTGAGGCCTCAGCTCGTCATCCTCCGGCACTTGACTGTACAAATTATCCGGAACCTCATGGTACAACCTCTCTTCGATAGTCTCGTCGTACCGCCTACCAGTACCGTAACCGTAAGCAACCGTTTGGCAGTTGTTAGTAGGCGTTTGGTTGCCATAAGTAGTCGTTGGGTTGCCATAACTACACGTTTGGTTGCCATAACTAGACGTTTGGTTGCCATAAGTAGTTGTTGGCTTGTCGTTAGTAGACGCTCGTTGGTCGTGAGTGTCATTAGTTACTGTTTGGTTGTTATAAGGAGTTGGGTGGTTGTCGTTAGTGGCAGTTTTGTTGCCGTAAATGTTGTTCATTTGTACGGCGGTGTTGTAGAGAGTGTTAGAGTCGTTGCTGTATACAGAGTGTTGGGGAAGGGAGGTGTTGTAGACGTTTTGCGTTGTACCTAAAAGAAATCGAAACTATGTTTCCCATAGATATATGCTTTCTGAACACTTACTGGTTGAATTGAAATTAGTTGCTATCTCGTAATTTGTACTTCCTGAGTACATAGAACTGGAAGAAGAGTACACTGGGTCGTACCTCCTGTTGCTTTTGAATTGACCGAATTCGCAATTGACTACGTATGTTTCGTTCTTGTTTTGCCGTTGATTCGTATCGATTTGTACATGTTTGTTGCTTTGCTTGAGATTTCCGTTGTTGGTAGATTCGCACCACATTTTATTTATGATGGCCTTGGTGTAGTTCTTGGTGCACGAATCTGAGGTTTTCATGTACAAATCACCCAAGTTGGAGTAAGCATCTGAGAGAAACAATATATTACACTTCTACACACATTTTACTATTACTACTTCAAAAAAAATTGTGAAAATTGCCCTCTATTCCGACCTAAGTTATTTATTTGTTATTCTAAACCTAGACATTTTTCAAACTTCTGTCCACATTCACTTCTCTGTGAAGTTCAAGATGGAAAATTTTGCAAATATTTCAAGTATTGACACAAATAACGAAATAAGGATTGATGAAAGAAACTATCTATATTAATATTATAAAGAGGAAAGTTTTGATTATTTGTTTGTTTGTATGTATTGAATAGACTCCGAAACTACTGGATCGATTTGGCTGAAAATTGGAGCAGGTTCGAGAATACTTTTTATCACGATACCATCAGGAAATTCAAAATGGCGGAGCTAATATATCGGACGAGATAAGTAATTATGATCCGATTCTATTCAACATTGGTATGTGGGGGTTTTCGGGATCAGAGATGATGATTCTTTCGTCAGAATTTGAAACTTCGGACGGATTTTGGAAATTCAAGGATGCGGAACCAATAAGGCGGACGAGTTTTGCAATTATAATCCGATTCTTTTCAAAATTGGTACCTAGGGGTTTTCGTGATCGGGGGTTTATTATTCCCTCGTCAAAATTGAGAAATTCAAGATGGTGGATCCAAAATGGCGGATTTTGTAATTAGGATCCGATTTTATTCAAATTTGGTATCTGGGTGTTTTCGGGATCGGAGATTATGATTCTTTTGTCAAAATTTGGAAAGGGCGGAATTTGTGAATTCAAGACGGTGGAACCAATATGCCGGACGAGTTTTGTAATTATATACCGATTCTATTCAAGATTTGTAAGTGGGCGTTTTCGGGATTAAGAATTATGATTCCTTCGTTAAAATTAGGGAATTCAAGATGGTAGATCCAATATTGCGGACGAGTTTTGTAATTATGTTACGATTCTATTCAAAATTTTCATCTGGGGTTTTAGGAGTCGGATATTATGATTCTTTCGTCAAAATTGAAAAATTCAAGTGAACTAAAAAGTAGTTTAAATAAAAAATAGTTTGAAAAACTAAAGAAACACGATTTCATAGATAGCGAAACTAAAAAGAAGTAGAAAATAAAATAGTTATTTGAATTTGAGTAAGAACTGGAAACTCATCACTGCTCATCTACTTTTAAATTGTTAATAATAACTTACTATGCATTAACTGAATTCCTATAATATCAATTCTTATCATAAAATGAATAATAACCAAATTGAATAACTATGCAGCTCAAGAAGAATCTATTACCTGATGTTGTTGGAACGCCATCTAGTAGCGAAAATGCAACAAAATATTTGTTTGATATAATGTATCGGTTTTTTATCTCTTAGTTGTTGTTTTTTTTTGATTCGGGGATTATGGGTGCTTGGAAATACTTCCTGCTCTTAGCAAAATAATCTGAATGAAATGACAAACATATTTCTTTATAACGCAACAAATATCTCTAATCGATTTTTTTTTTGTATTTCGTCGAAATAAAAAAATGCATAAAGGTGATCAAAATTCGATGTTCTTGAGAAAATTTAGCTGGATGACGAGTCAACGAAATAAAATGCAAACAAAATCATTTTTGTTTCCACAGAGATTTATGATTGGGTTTTCTGGCTTCTGAATTTCTATCCACGCCCTGTATGATGAACATCAATTATTCATCAAACAACTAAAGAAGATCAGTTCAATTTGTTGCATAGAAAAAAGCATTTGATTGAAGAATGAAATGATTATCAAAATAATATTTTGTCAAAAATAATCTAATTTGTCAAATAGACAAAATGCAGATGATTGAACAATGAAATATAACTTTGTTCAAGTTAGCAAATATTTCAATCAAAATATTTTGTCTCTTGGAATAAATAAGTCGCGTATTTGCAATGAATATACAAGGTATCTACATAACACCGAAAAAATGAATGAGGTGATTTCATGAATTTGTGTAGAGATAAAAAAGAAGTTGTACGACCATTTCAACCCCTTCTAAGCATACTTCAGGGTTGAAAACATTCCAAAAAGTGTAGTTGTATTGAAAATAAGAAAGAAAACATTATTTTTATTTTCGGAAGGATTAACTTTTCCGTGGAAAGGTATTTTAAAAAAATATATAGCAAGTACGCACCTTGATTCTCGTCACATCATCCTTGAAATCTTTTCGGAGTTATTTATATACACTCTGTATATTGTAATTCCGCGAAATTGATTTCAACTCGATAAAAAATAATATCGAAATAATTTTGTTGGTGCAACAAATCTTTTTTTTTTTCGAAGTTAACTAACCGTTTTGAATTTTTGGCAACGTCGCAGCCCCAGCCACTTCTTCCACCTTCTTCTTAACAGGCTTCACCTGCTGCGGGGGAGGATCCAAAACAGGCACCACGTTCTCCTTCCCCCTGTCCTTCTCCTTGCCCAACAAATATTTCTCCAAATCAGCCAAAAACTTCCCCTCCGCATTTTTCGAAGGCGAAGCGTCGAGCTTCAAGAGCGAAATCCCGTTTTCCAAACCATTTCCTGCTGGTTTAACAGGCGAAGCCATGTTTTTTTGTGCAACAGGTACACTTTTTGACACCGCAATCGTTTGTTCCTTGTCGCAAGGGGTAGTTTTGAAGTAGTTCATCCCTCTGTTAGAAATATCCCCTTGTACATAGTTGTTTTTAGTTTTGTTGGGACTGGTGATGGGTTTTTTACTGGGGGAGTTAGTAGGGTCGAAATTGGGACTGGGTAGTTTGTGGGGGTAGCTGTATATGGGAGGGGGTTTGTACACGTATGACGTGTCAAAGGGGTCGATTTCCGGTGGATCTAAGGCGAACGCAGAAGAATTGTAGTAGGCAGGTGGGGCATGATATGGTGGTGGTGCTGTTTCTTGAAGATCGTTGGATTTCCAAAATTCTTGTTCTGAAAGAGACACTGCAGAATGTCAGGGTGATTGAATAGGAATTAAACTATACAACAGTCTTCCACATGGGCACAATGTTTCAAAGATATCGCCTTGGTGCATAAATTCAAAGAGAAAACTAAAAATTATTTCATTGACATGTGGCCATACTTGGTTGAAGAATATTTTGAAAATAAACCTCCTTCCATGGCATTTTTTTTTCATGATTTCTCATTCACTAACATTCATAACAAGTTAATTATTTTTGATAAACCTTCCCAAGTTCACCACTGTTGGATTTGTTTTCTTAGTAGGTAATAATATGTATTCGCTATCAACCCTTTTCAACCCAGCGAGCACAAACATCCCTGGGATGTTTTGAAAATGTTGGCATGAAGATGTTATTTTGAGACATAATATGCACTGACCAAAGATGTCTTTGAAGGATATTGAAGTATTGTTTTTGTTCTTCTGTAGCATTTCTTTGTTTGCCTACTGAGAGGTATCCCTGGGATGTTTTGGGATGTTTTAAAATGTAGGCATGAGGATGTTTTTTTGAGGCGTAATATGCACTTTCCAAAGAGGTCTTAGAAGGATATTGAAAGTATTGTTTTTGTTCTTTTGTGCCCTTTCTTTGTTTGCCCCACCACAACGTCTCATGCTTACGTCACAATTCGATAAATTCTGATTTGTTTTCGATTTTGTTCTTCTTGTTCGCAATTGGCATTCGCGTTTGCAGCGTGTCACGCTTACATCACGCTGCTAACGAACAGAAAGGAATTTGGCGAAGTTTATTGTGTTAGAAGACTTATTTAGTTTGTAATAATGACCATCAGATGCAAGATGTGTTGTTCGGTGCCTCAGTGTAATCAATATATAAAAGTACGAATTTATCAATACACAGCTTCTCCGCAGTTGCAAAATTATGCAAGACGCGTTGAAAATGTTTTGTTGTGTCCATGAAAAGGCTTCAAAAAGAACTAGGGAGAAGGTAGATTTGTGACATATCAAGGACATCTCGATAATTGCCGCCTGCGGCGGACATTGGCTGTTCTATAATAGTAAAGGGGCCAGGTAGCCGTGCGGACAGAGTGTCTATATTCTAATCCGCATTCGCTTGCCGGTCGTGGGTTCGAGTCCCGTCGACTGCAGAAATTTTTCTGATGGCCCAAGAAAGTGTTTGGGATCACACGTTAAAAGGTAAGGCCCCCGTCATTCCTTGCTCGCACAAGACTCTCGAATACTTCTGAGGGTTGCTCGTAAGGGGGCAACCGAATGACGGATAGAACAATTTTTTTTTTTTTTTTTAGTTCTATTCATGTCTGAACAGAACATCGCAGTGGAGGTACAATGTCTCGAAATCTCGTACTTTCAACATCTCTGAGATGTTTTTGTGCTCGCTGGGAAGTTAACAACCCTTTTCAAGTTAATTCCCGGTTCACCATATTTTAATGTAGATATTGTGCCTGATTTCGTTTGTGAAGTATTTAAATTTGCCATGGATTTCCAGTAACGGCTGAGTCAAATCAAAATTTCAATGTTAGCAATCCTCACCTTCTTGTGGCACATCTATCGGTTCATCCAGCAAACTAACTGATCCGTGTGTGGACCTACCAGGAATGTCTTTGATTCGCGTGACAGAAGCATCCTCAGGCGATATATCGACCAACACTTCTTCCTTTGAAGCATCGATTTTCGGTTGCGGAGGCCTTTGAGGCTTCGACAACTTGAAGCTGTTCTGGTTCGTCAGTTTTTTGTAATTGAACTGCTTGTCAGTTCTTCTTAGAGAGCTGTTTACTATAAGGAATAGGGATCCAATAGAGGAATTCAGCCTGGGCGTTGAAAAATATGTTTTGTTCTACTGATCTTGTTTACAAGGCTTCAACGAGAAAAAACATGGAAATAATGGGGAAGTTTCCTTCGGATGAATTTTCATAAAATAAGTTCGGAACTCTTTAGTTTCATGTCCACGCTGTACAAAATGGCGACCGATAAATTCCAAGTCGTTTTCATTTTTAAATTAAAGTAATTCCTAATTGTCGGGCGGCAAAATGTGACGTACATTCTGAATCTAGTCTGAAAATAGCTGATGCTGAAGAATATAGCTAGCGACTTGCTAACGAATAGCTACAAATGAAAAATGAATGAAAAAAATAGGTGAACACAAACATACATAACCACAAATGCACTTGAAGCAGGAGTGCCGAAGGTAGTTGGCTTCATTCTGACAGGTTATGGTTTTGTTACTTATACATTGGAATATGTCGAATAGAGCTCGATCCTAAACGAAAATATCATTCAATCAATGAATCAATATCGGCTACATTCAATGATACTATCCTTCCTAGATTACTGCCATCGGTCGGAACATAATGAAGCCGACACCCATGGCTCCTTCCTCTTGTTGTGCCTGTCAGTATTTTGAGTGGTGTGGACGGACTCAAAGTATTAGGCGCTGTTGCAAGATATAATCTGCAATTTTCCTAGCAAATAGATCCGTTTCATTAGCAAAATAATGACTGACATGTTATGAATAACATATTGTAATATAACGATAGTGAAAAATTATAGATACTATCGCAAAATATAATTCATCTTTATTAGTACTCAACTTTATTCAGCCACTGGAGAGAGATTTATGGAAATTATTCATAATACTTGACAAAGTAGGATTGAAGAACCTATATCCCATTGCTGTTATGATATAGTTATAATGCATTCAAAGAACAATTTCCGGAAATCTAGACATATTGATGATGTTGGCAACGTCGTACTGGCACAGGGAATCGTATTCTAACTCTGTGTGAATGTGGATTTTCAGAAAGTACGTCATAGATATGGTGGAGGAGCCAAGTTCTACTTTTATATATTTTTTTCTGAAGTGAAATTTGATTTTACAAAAAAAAAAGAAAAAATACTTATACAGGGTGTTTTTTATATATTGCGACAAATTTCAGGAACGTGTTCTTTGGACAAAAATTCGCAAAAAAGTTCCTATAAACATAGGTCCTAAACCTTTTAGATTTTGAGCTACAGGGTGGTAAAGTTTTAACAAAAAAATGATTTTTTTTCGATAACTTAAATACCCCTGTAGATATTTGTCTAAAGATTGGTATGCAGGGTCTGTGTATCCAGAGCCATTCACCAACATACTTTTAACATTTTTATGTTCTCCAGTGGCGTGTGTGCGGGTTTTCCGCTGAATACTTTTATAAAGAAAAATGGTAGGCCACTGGTTTTTCTTGTATTAAAAAATATCTTTAAATTCCCCGTTTTATTTGCAACATTTTTGATCCCTTGGACTTTGTCCGTTAGATGCACGGTTTTCGCACAAAAAATTAAAAAACATCTACTTTGACTGATCGCTAAAATTTATTTTTTCTATGATCGTTATAAAAAGTAAGTTTTTTTTTAAATTTTATTGAAAATTTCATTGTAGTTCATAATATGTCACTTTATTTAACATGTTAAAAAAGTGACATATGAGTAACGTGTTAATATTTCACGCTTCCAAAATCGCGAAGTAGCCTGTGAACATATTTTTTTTTAACGTAACTACGGACAACGCCGCCGCAACGATAATCACATTCTTGTTTAAGACGTCAAAATTAATGTCAAAGTTAATAATTTAAGTACAAGTTGACGAGATTAATTTGTTAAAAAAATGGCTAACAATTACACAAATAATGAAATGTGCGATATGCACTTCATTTATGGACTGGCTAACGGAAACGCACGAGAAGCCTTGCGTATTTATGCTGAACGTTACCCGAATCGTGTTATTCCCATAGACCTATAATAGGTCTATGGTTATTCCTCATCACTCCATGTTTACGCGTTTACACCAACGTCTAAGGGAAACCGGCAGCTTTAAAAAACTCACCGCTGAAAACGGACATCCCCGAACAGTTACTCCTCAAATTGAAGAACAGGTGCTCAATGAATTCGAGGAAGATCCCACCACAAGCACTAGGAAAATTGCTCAGACGGTAGACATTAGTAACTTTACAGTTTGGAATATTGTTAAAAGAAACCTTTTATACCCGTATCATATTCAGCGGGTGCAGGCACTTTTGCCAGGCGATTTTCCGAAAAGAACGTCTTTGTGTCGTTGGATGCAAGAACGCATAAGGCAAGATGCACCGTTTATGAGAAAAATACTTTTCACCGATGAGGCTAATTTCTCCAGGGACGCAATTATGAACTTCCACAATAACCACATATGGCATTATGAGAACCCACATGCTGTGGCAGAAAACCGTCATCAGCACCAGTTTTCAATTAATGTATGGGTCGGCATTATTGAAAACTTTCTCATCGGTCCATTTTTTTTACCAGCAAGGTTGACTGGACAAGTGTATCAAGAATTTCTTGAAAATGAATTACCAGTGATGCTAGAAGATGTCCCCATTCAGCTGAGACAGCAAATGTTTTTTTTTACATGACGGTGCTCCAGCCCATTTTAGTTTAGTGGCTCGGCAGTATTTGGATATTACGTATTCAAATCGTTGGATAGGTCGGGGAGGTATTAACCCTTGGCCCCCACGGTCTCCCGACTTAAATCCGCTGGATTTTTTTCGTGGGGACACCTTAAATCACTGGTTTATAGAAATCCAATTGATAATGTGGAGGAATTTTTGAACGTGTCCGCCAATCAATGCGACGTCGATTAGATGCTTGTATTGATGTTGGAGGAGCACACTTTGAACAACTTTTGTAAAAATAATATTACTTAAATAAATAATATAAAATGAAATATTTTTTATCACTTAAAAACTTGTATTTTAAATTAAAGATTGTAGAAGCAAAAGTTTTAAATCCTCAATTACAATTTTATTAAATTGGGCTGGCTTTTGTACTAAATTAATTAATAAAATTTAAAAAAAAAACTTACTTTTTATAACGATCATCGAAAAAATAAATTTTAGCGATCAGTCAAAGTAGATGTTTTTTAATTTTTTGTGCGAAAACCGTGCATCTAACGGACAAAGTCCAAGGGATCAAAAATGTTGCAAATAAAACGGGGAATTTAAAAATATTTTTTAATACAAGAAAAACCAGTGGCGTACCATTTTTCTTTATAAAAGTATTCAGCGGAAAACCCGCACACACGCCACTGGAGAACATAAAAATGTTAAAAGTATGTTGGTAAATGGCTCTGGATACACATATCCTGCATACCAATCTTTAGACAAATATCTACAGGGGTATTTAAGTTATCGAAAAAAAATCATTTTTTTGTTAAAACTTTACCACCCTGTAGCTCAAAATCTAAAAGGTTTAGGACCTATGTTTATAGGAACTTTCTTGCGAATTTTTGTCCAAAGAACACGTTCCTGAATTTTGTCGCAATATATAAAAAACACCCTGTATATCAATTTGTTACAAATTTCACAGTGAGATAAAACCTCAATAAAGGAAACTTCCCAATTACTTTCTACCTCACAAAATTGGAGGAACAATATTTTAACCCCAACATAAAAAGGTTAGAATGGTCTGTCTTTATTGAATTTTCCTTATTTTACGTTGGAATCCTGAAACTAACGGCGTAAAAAAATGCATAATTAATATCTCTCCAAACGCTGGCTGAATTTGTCTATTGTAGTTTGTTGTGTTGGCATCACTGTGAATCAAGAAGTTGTCAACAAACACAGGTTTTGAAGGTTTCAAATTCGAAAGAAAGCTTGCATTGATCAAATATACATACAGTATGATGCAAATGAAAGAGATACATTCAATATCATGTTATTGGGTGACTTAAGAGAAAAATCCTGAAACCTGTCTATTTTTATTTTGGATCGCACATACTCTCAAATATTTTTTATATTCTTTACGGCACATGTGTGAGCATGATGATGTCATCAATGACTTTTTTAAATGGCTATGTGGGTCATGTCTTCAATTCATCAAGGTATTTGCAAAAAATAGAACAATTTTCTTTGAGCATCAGAGAGCGTCCTCAAAACAGATAGTTGCATGGCCAAAACATAGAAGAATATCGGTTATGTTGGGTTTATAGATTCAATTAACATTACCAATTAACAATCAACAATTAGAAATTATGAGGGTGTTTAAACATATCTGATACTGATTGAGAATTACATATATACATTCAAGATTCATATAAAATATTTCAATAAAATATCACCAAACTCCACTTTGCACAATGACAAATCTAATTTTCATGTTCATCTGTCCCCACCCAGAATTTCTTAATTCATAGTTTGCAAAGTTGAAAGTTGACCAACTCTGAAGTATAAACCCTCCGTAGTTTGGCTGAATCTATAAACCAAGCATAAAGAAAGAGGAACATATTCCAGAGGTCAGACTTTTCTTACGGCTTAATGAAGATGATTTTCTTCTATCACAGAGTTGCGGTGACGGTTTCGGCTGTCTTCGTATTCCCAAGAGATCAGGCGGGTCCATCGGGTTTTTCAGGTACATTTCGTCGATATAAGAAGGGCTGCCCCAGGATTCCCCAAAAGCTGAACCGTGTCCAGTGTGGATGAACGAGTTTTGAAGAGGTTTACTTGAAAACAGCAAGGTTTTTTTCTTTCAGAGGAGAATTGTATTCTATAGAATTCACATAATCCGGCTCGAAGGACCATGTGAATTATAAAATTCTCGACATTTCAACTTTCAAATCTGACAATATCAGTTTTTCATTAAAAATCAACAACTTTCTCGTTTTCCAAACTAAACAAATAAATATCAATATACAAAGTGAACAAAGAGATACAACAATCTTATGATCCTGGACTCTTTAAGAGATAAGGATATATTGCCCTCTTCGTTTGAAGTTGGCGTATTATCCACACAGTTAACATAGGCGATTAGCAGTCTATTTGAGCAAAGCAAGATCCTGAATGGTCTAAGACTTCAAACATATTTTATTCCCTTTTAATGTAAGGGTTGTGCGTTGTTTCATATTGGAAAAAAAACAAAGCCTGCTTGATCCTAACCTTAATTCAGTCAGAATTAGAGGAATTTTGACTTTGACATACACTTCAAGGTCCAGTAGCACCAGTAGAGCGTTAGTATTTTGTAGAGTAATTTCTCATTCAACACTACATATTATATCCAAATGATGATGATAATTTTCGAGTTTTTGATTTTTCAACTCCAGCATAATCTTTGTGAGGCAGTGAGCAAATTTGTCTGAAATTTTCATACGTTTTACCAAATGGGACTGTTCTTAGGCAGTACCTATATATGAATTTTGATTTCAGACTAAGCCTTATGGCTGAGAAATGGTGTATATATTCATGTTGGGAATCATTTTTGGAGTTTTTCACATAATATTGACAGCAATGTCATGTCAGGGACGACAATACACCAAACCAAAGTCACTAGATGATTAAAAGAGAAAGGAGCTATGATCTGTCCTTACCCTGTTAGATGACAAATACGTCAGTTTGCATCAAGGAACCCTAATTACAGCAGAACTGTCAATTACATACAGGGACTCTAACAAATACTAATGCTGCAACTTCTGACATCTTACCTGATATCATCCGACTGTTTGGGCCGCATCGGATCTACCAAACACCTAGGCACCAACCCTATCTCGAATGTCCTCTGGTTCTGCCCTTTCCACCAATACAACTCCGAACTACCGTCAATAATGGCGATTTCGTCCCCTTCAAGCACTTCCAGCTTGTCGGGTTCGTTTTGTCTTCCTAAAGATTTCATCACCGGCGTGACGTTTTTGCGGAAGAAATCTTTGAGAGAGGCGAAGGTCGGTCGGTCTTCGGGTTTTTTCGCCCAGCATTGCAAGAGAGTGGCGTAGATTAGGGGTGGGCATGCGTCAGGTAGGGCCAAGCGTTCGTTTTCTTTCTCGATTTTGCGCAGAATCTCGGACCCTAAAATAGGGTGGAGTGTAAATGTAAAAACTTCACAAACGCTAATATTTCCACAAAGTTCTCAAACACACGACATGTTTCGCTAACACAGTAGCTTCGTCAGGTGATATACTGGTACGATGAACTAAACTGACCTTGGCTTTCTTATATATCCGACTTTCCTAACCTGAAGGATTAGTAACCAGTGAACAGGTTCGATAAACCTCCATTTTCGGAAATTAGGCACAATATCTACATTAAAATACGGTGTACCGGATTAACTTGGAAGGGTTGATAGCAGATACATATTATTACCTACTAAGAAAATAAATACAACAGTGGTGAACTATTGAGGTCTCATTGATCGTTAAGTAAAATGTCGAAGTTTTTGACTTTTTTGAAAAAGAAAACAAATTCAACATACGCCAACCATAGATAGATAGAATTCATTTAACCACGTTACACAAAAAAATTCTATGTTTGTAGCAGGTCAGATACAAGATACAAGTAGTGTTATATTGTTAAGCTCACATATTAAAAATAAAAAGAACATGGAAGTTAACAAATTACAAGTTTAAAAATCTAAAATCACAATATTAAAATGTTCCATAAGAGAAAAAAAGTCAATACACAAGTAATGAACACACTAAATGAAAGACAACAAACAAACCAAATTTGGACAGCTAAGGAGAAGAAAACCATAGTTTAGATGAATGAAACTCAATCATTTTGTCATTAGAAATCAACAAACTAAAAGAATTTGACATTTTACCTAACGATCAATTAGACCTCAATAGTTCACCACTGTTGAATTTGTTTTCTTAGTAGGTAATAATATGTATTTGCTATCAACCCTTTCAAGTTAATCCGGTACACCGCATTTCATCTAGATATTGTGCCTAATTTCCAAAAATGGAGGTTTATCGAACCTGTCCACAGGTAACTAATCCTTCAGGGTGGGGAAAGTAAGATATATAGAAGTTAAGCAAGCCAACGTTAGTTTAGTTCATCGTATATCACCTGACGAAGCTACTGTGTTAGCGAAACATGTCGTGTGTTTGAGAATTTTGTGAAAATCTTATCGTTTGTGAAGTTTTTACATTTGCCATGGATTTCCATCAAGTGACGGCATAGTTGATTGAAAAAAAGGGTGAAGTTTTTTCGAATCAAACCAGGTATTAGGAGAGGCAAAGAGGCTAATTAGGCATTTACTCGAGCGACGTGGGGACGTATCAGATTGTGAAGATTAGATGCAAAAATGAAACAAGGGAACCCACAAGGAGCTCCTATTCAAAAGACTGACGATTTGGATGCGACCAAAAGTCATAATCAAATTTTGAAAATGAAAAAAAAAAAATCGTGACCTTGAAATACTCGACCGTATCAGATTATTTATTATACAGACACTTCATCTTAATGTCCTTGTCGTATCGACCCATAATCTGACAATTATCTAGAGGAATTAACTTAATCTGATGGTTAATTTTTTTTTGTTAACTAAATGTAATAACTAAAATACAAAATATATAGGTTAGGTTAGATTTTTGTAGCAGGACTTCAACAGCTCGAAGAATTCACAATTTTGAGATGGGAAGGCTCATGTAGACATACAGGGTGGACCAATAGTGTGGCAAAGTGAGATAACGGTTTTGCTGTTTGAGATAGATGAACAAAAATTCTTGAGATTTTCTAGTCTCATGAGCAGTACATTTTGTGTTATACAGGGTTATTCAAAAATGCGTGGCGTATCAAAGTTATAGTTTTTCTTATTTTCAAAGTTCTACTTTAGCTCCTAGGAACTAAAGTTCAACTTTAGCACCCAGAAACTAAAGTTCAACTTTAGCTCATAGAAACTAAATATGTTACCTTGCAACATACCTATGATTGTGTCAGTAATAGAAACGTCAATTCAAGAGCTAATTTTGGTATCAAAATGGAGGTCTTTTGCGTCGGTTGCAGAAAAACATAATTGAATCGGTCATTTCGAAAACGACCCAAGTCACAAATAATTTTTTTTTATGAGACATAAGAAACATTTCATTTAATTAGGTGGTAATTTTGAGGCAATGCTATTTTATATACGTATTGTAGGTTATGGTTAGGTAGTTTTGGAAGACGAAAAGTGGATATAGATCATGTAGTTTTTTTTATTATCAATTTTTTAATCTGTGGGACTTATGTTGTTTTCGAAATGAAGCATGATTTTTAATGTTTTTTATAAACCTTTTTATTTCAAACATTTGGAAAGTACAAGAAAATGACAAAAATACATAAAGTTGAAAAAAAGCTCAAGAACATACATTCTATCGTGTTTTTTCAATATCCGTTCTATTCACTACCCGTTCATTCCGAAAACCACACAAAATCTCGATGGTAACGACAGGACTCATGTTGTTTTCGAAATGACTGGAAAACAAATTGACCTTGCAATCATGCTATGAAATAGTAACTTGTGTTGTTTTCGCCCAGACTGATGCGTTTCGAGGTATAAATCATCATGGCGCCGAAATTTAGATTTAGCCCAGATATGGATATAGGTTGTTTTCGAAATGACCGATTCAATTATTTAGTCGGCTTTTCGCACTTAGATTGGTGGGATGGATGGAACATCGAGCGATCCGAGAGTAAAAAAATATCTCTAAAAAAAGTGAATGTCAAGGCACTCTATGGTACCACCTACCGATCAATCCCATCCAGGGATCTTCGCCGAAAGTAAACATCTCCCACACGGTGACACCGAACATCCACGTGTCTGAAGCATGGCTGAACTGCCTGTATCGCAGAGATTCGGGAGCGCACCAAGGAAAAGGGACTTTTTTGTGCTCGGTCATCACGTAACAATCTTCCTCTTGCGGCAGAGCTCTCATCAGGCCGAAATCGCCGATTTTTATCTAAAAATTGTTGGAGGGTCAACCCAAGCCTCATTATTCCCAGAACAATAATTTATTGTTGTAGTTGTTCAAAAGTAAAAGTCTGAGAATCCAAAGAAGCAAAAGTATTCTTTGGTTCGAATCCTGTTAAGTTTGTCGCTTGTTTCGACTTCGGTTCGTCTCCTTCAGTCAAGGAAAGTACCCTGAGACAAGTTGGAATTTTTCTGTTTTGGAAGTAAATCTACAGAATAGTTTTGAGCAAACACAAAAGTCAAAAGTGGTTAGCACGAAAGACAAAAGTCGCTCGAAATTGTAAAACTTCGCAGATCTGGTCTCTCGTGCTATGTAATTTTGATTTTTGTCTTTGCTCAAAACTATTTTGTCGATAATTTATTGTTGTAGTTGCGTTTTATTGCAAAATTGGAGAATTTCCTATATCCACATATTTGTTTCTGGTATTATCAAAAACCATTGTATACAATTTTATCTTTCCACAGGCTAAGATTTTACCTTAGAAAAATGTTCAAGGAATTAGTTCAGTTATTTTCACTATTCTGCTGACGTCAAAATGAAAAATGACACTTTTCTCGAAAACGGTACGTTTCACGAAATTGAATTAAAATGAAATTTTTTTTTGGCCTATCAAAGATCTGAAAAAATTCATATAGACTAATTCGATGTCGTAATGAGAGAATCTGTGGTCTGAATTTGGAAATTTTGGAAAATAAGGGCGCAGTAGCCTACCAAAGTGATATTTTCGGCAATAATCGCGAGTAGCTGACTTCAACTGCCCATATCTCGAAAAATACTTATCCTATCGGGCTGTTCGTGGTCTCAATCGATTCAGCGTGTCATTTTCTACTGGAAAACCGATAATTCGCGTGGATTTCCGCCTTTTTCCGGCATGTTTTTCCGTTCGAAGGTGCGTCTGCAGTCGTAGTAAAGTCTAAGATATGAAAATGAAAATCTTTTTTACCCCTATCAAAAATCTGAAAAAATTCATATAGACTAATTCGATGTCGTAATGAAAGAATCTGTGGTCGAAATATGAAAATTTTGGAAAATGAGGACGCAGTAGCCTACCGAAGTGCTTCTTTCGGCAATAATCACGAGTAGCTGAATTCAACTGCCTATATCTCGAAAAATACTCATCCGATCGGGCTGTTAGTGGTCTCAATCGATTCAGCGTGTCATTTTCTACTGGAAAACCGATAATTCACGTGGATTTCTGCGTTTTTCCGGCATTTTCTTTTGTTCAGAGGTGCGTCTGCAGTCGTAGGAAATTAAAGTCTGAGATATGAAAATAAAAATTTTTTTTAGGCCTATCAAAAATTTGAAAAAAATTTATATAGACTATAGACTAATTCGATTTCGTAATGAAAGAATCTATGGTCGAATTTTGGAAATTTTGGAAAATGAGGGCGCAGTAGCTTACCGAAGTGCTACTTTCGGCAATAATCGCGAGTAGCTGACTTCAACTGCCCATATCTCGAAAAATACTCATCATATCGGGCTGTTCGTGGTCTCAATCGATTCAGCGTGTCATTTTCTACGGAGAACCGATAATCCGCGTGGATTTCTGCGTTTTTTCGGCATTTTTTTTCCGTTCGGAGGTGCGTCTGCAGTCGTAGGAAATTAAAGTCTTAGATATGAAAATGAAAATTCTTTATAGGTCTATCAAAAATCTGAAAAAATTCGTATAGACTAATTCGAAGTCGTAATGGAAGAATCTGTGGTCGAAATTTGGAAATTTTGGAAAATAAGGGCGCAGTAGCTTACCGAAATGCTACTTTCGGCAATAATCGCGAGTAGCTGACTTCAACTGCCCATATCTCGAAAAATACTCATCCTATCGGGCTGTTTGTGATCTCAATCGATTCAGCTTGTCATTTTCTACTGGAAAACCGATAATTCGCGTAGATTCCTGCGTATTTCCGGCATTTCTTTCCGTTCGGAGGTGCGTCTGCAGTCGTAGGAAATTAAAGTCTGAGATATGAAAATGAAAATTTTTTTTAGGCCTATCAAAAATCTGAAAAAATTCATATAGACTAATTCGATGTCGTTATGAAAGAATCTGCGGTCGAAATTTGTAAATTTTGGAAAATGAGGGCGCAGTAGCCTACCGAAGTGCTACTTTCGGCAATAATCGCGAGTAGCTGACTTCAACTGCCCATATCTCGAAAAATACTCATCCTATCGGGCTGTTCGTGGTCTCAATCGATTCAGCGTGTCATTTTCTACTGGAAAACCGATAATTCGCGTGGATTTCTGCGTTTTTCCGGCATTTTTTTTCGTTCGGAGGTGCGTCTGCAGTCGTAGGAAATTAAAGTCTGAGATATGAAAATGAAATTTTTTTTTAGGCCTATCAAAAATCTGAAAAAATTCATATAGACTAATTCGATGTCGTAATGAAAGAATCTGTGGTCTGAATTTGGAAATTTTGGAAAATAAGGGCGCAGTAGCCTACCGAAGTGCTACTTTCGGCAATAATCGCGAGTAGCTGACTTCAACTGCCCATATCTCGAAAAATACTCATCCTATCGGGCTGTTTGTGGTCTCAATCGATTCAGCATGTCATTTTCTACTAGAAAACCGATAGTTCGCGTGGATTTCTGCGTTTTTCCGGCATTTTTTTTCGTTCGGAGGTGCGTCTGCAGTCGTAGGAAATTAAAGTCTGAGATATGAAAATGAAATTTTTTTTTAGGCCTATCAAAAATCTGAAAAAATTCATATAGACTAATTCGATGTCGTAATGAAAGAATCTGTGGTCTGAATTTGGAAATTTTGGAAAATAAGAGCGCAGTAGCATACCGAAGTGCTACTTTCGGCAACAATCGCGAGTAGCTGACTTCAACTGCCCATATCTCGAAAAATACTCATCCTATCGGGCTGTTCGTGGTCTCAATCGATTCAGCGTGTCATTTTCTACTAGGAAACCGATAATTCGCGGGGATTTGCGCGTTTTTCCGGAATTTTTGTCCGTTCGAAGATGCGTCTGCAGTCGTAGGAAATTAAAGTCTGAGATATGAAATCGAATTTTTTTTTAGGCCTATCAAAAATCTGAAAAAATTCATATAGACTAATTCGATGTCGTAATGAAAGAATCTGTGGTCTGAATTTGGAAATTTTGGAAAATAAGAGCGCAGTAGCATACCGAAGTGCTACTTTCGGCAATAATCGCGAGTAGCTGACTTCAACGGCCCATATCTCGAAAAATACTCATCATTTCGGGTTTTTTGTGGTCTCAATCGATTCAGCGTGTCATTTTCTTCTAGAAAACCGATAATTCGCGTGGATTTCTGCGTTTTTCCGGCATTTTTTTTCGTTCGGAGGTGCATCTGCAGTCGTAGGAAATTAAAGTCTGAGATATGAAAATAAATGTTTGCGTCTGCCAGCTTAGGAAATTCAAGTCTTAACATTTTTTTTAGGCCTTTCAAAAATCTGAAAAAATTCATATAGACTAAATCGATGTCGTAATGAAAGAAACTGTGGTCGAAATTTGAAGAAAACTGCATTTAAGATCCTACTTTCTAAATATTATTATATAACAATGAATTAAACATAATAATCATCCCAGTAAATTCATGGCCTACTATAGTTAGTGTTTTCTTCAGCATATCTGAAAATCTCTATGTATAAATATCATGCAACATTTGGAAAAGAAAAGATAGCGCATCCAACAAAATAATAAAATATAGGGTGTTCCATTGAAAAATATGGTAATTTTGCACTTATCATGCGATGGTTTTTTTTTTCGAAATTTTTTTTTTGGTACTTACGTATTTCTGTCTGAAACACGAATTTGATGATGAAAATGTGAACAAACCACTATTCATCGAGATATTTCAAGAAAAAGTTCGAAATTTTGCCTTCTTTTCCCCCTTGTGTTGGATGCATTTACAGGTACTTGCTCTTATTATTTTGTCATTGGACACTTTATATACTCATGATGTACTTCACTGACACATTTTAAGATAGAAAATTCAACAGGAAATATGATTTTTATGGCGAGTTTTTCCTATTTAGTGAGCAAGCATACCAGATGACGGCCATTTAATCCATATGCAATCTAAATGTCAATAGATTGCTTTGGAATGACATTACACACGCCATTATTTCAAATGATATTCTTCCTTCTTTTCACTAAACATGGATAAATCACAAGAAAATCATATTTCTAGTTGACTCATATAACGAAAAAAAATGTGTCCAACATTGTGTGATATATATAAATTGTCCAATGATGGAAAAGGAAGGGCAAATTGTTCTAAATGTGATCCAGAAGACAGGCGGAAAAGATGGTGAAATTTGTAACTTTATAGTGAATTATCTTAATAAATAATGGTTTGTTCACATTTTTATTAGAAAATTCGTGTTTTTCGGACAAAAATACGTAAGTAGCAAAAAAAATTTTCGAAAAAAAACCATCGCATGATAAGTGCAAAATTACCAAAAATATATTATAAGTTTGTCATATCTGCAAAACCGAACCCAAGAAACAAAAAAAAACACCGATTGCTATGTTTTCATCATCATATCATCGTTTTACCTTATCCACAGCTGACAATAACACATTCCTGCATGCCAGGTCCCTGTGCAGGAACCTTTTGCTCTCCAAATAAGCCATCCCATTGGCCACCTGCGTGGCATATTCACACAACATCGACACCGGAGTGTGTTGGCACTGTTTCCTCAGGAAATCCAACAAAGATCCAAGAGGGGCTAGCTCAGTCACCATCATCATCGGCTGAGAAAGCACCACCCCGTATAACCTTGAAAGAGTCCGGCATAACCTCACAATTTAACTCACATCCCACGGAAGAAAATTATTTGAAAAATCCTTGATTATTTACAGTTTAGACTAACAAGATGATCCACCTCCATGTTGAATGAGGAGCCTCCACGAATGGGAAGTGTGAATGAGGAATTCTTCAAAAAAAACTTACGACACTTATAAGGTTCGTGTTCATAGAAAAGAGGCGCTGATATCGTCATATTTTGATTCCCCATCGGACCAAATAACAACAATCACTTATACTTACGACAAAAAATACAGATATGGTGTAAGTATAGGTTCATTTCTGATAGTGTTCAATAAAATTCTGATAATTGAGTTTCTATTTCTATTTCAAAGAAAATTTGTACAGTGACATCTAATAAAATAGAATAAGATGTAACAAGAACCTTCTATTGCTATTTTCAACTTTAAATTGCCGTCAAGGCAACACAAAAGCTCATCAATCCAAACACCATATACATACAGTGTGACCCATTTAAGATGGAAGCACCCTTATAAAACTTACATTTTTCAACCGATTGGAATGATTTTTTTTTTGTTAGGTAGATATTCAAAAAGTCTATTAGGACACCAAATATCATGAATAAATCTCCATTTCCAGGGCCAACTAATCTGATTTTTCAAGGTCAAAAATCTAAAAAAATTAATAGCGATTTTTTTAGAAAAAATCTGACTACACCACTGGATTTGTGACATTTTCAAATGGGTAACATGTAAATTACGTTGAAATGCGTCAATCAATAAAAAAGTTATAAAGGAATGAAATTTGAAAAATATGCCGTTTAATCAAGTTTCAAATTTCATTCCTTTATAACTTTTGTATTGATTGACGCATTTCAACGTAATTTACATGTTACCCATTTGAAAATGTCACAAATCCAGTGGTGTAGTCAGATTTTTTCTAAAAAAATCGCTAGTAATTTTTTTAGATTTTTGACCTTGAAAAATCAGATTAGTTGGCCCTGGAAATGGAGATTTATTCATGATATTTGGTGTCCTAATAGACTTTTTGAATATCTACCTAACAAAAAAAATCATTCCAATCGGTTGAAAAATGTAAGTTTTATAAGGGTGCTTCCATCTTAAATGGGTCACACTGTATAAACACCTCAGTCACACGTTCTCCCTAGAGGAGTGCCTAAATCTTTTGAACCATTCCCAACACATGATATGTTGAGATTCATGATTTTTTGATAATTATTTTTCGAAATAAAATTGTGGAGGATGAATTTGTTCAGAGAGTTTTATTCTGGTCCATTAATAGCATGTCGTCAGCCCACTGTGATCATTTGTATAGTGATAAAGGCTATATATACCGAATTCAACTGGTCAGTACTGTCGGTAAATCCAATGACTCAGCATTTATACCCTACGAGGCGTTCAACGACCGCGAAATCAACGCGAACGCCATCTGGCAAGCAAAGAAAAACTCCAAAACAAGGTTCCATTTCAAGTGAAATATACACCGTATGTAATCTTGTGTAGCTATGAACCGATTCAGTCTTTATTTTGGGAATTCAGAGTTGATAAATTGCTCATAATCTGAGTCATATTCCGATATTATTATCTGGGTTATTATTCCTTAACTATTGATTTCAAATGACTTTTGAATATGATTATAATATAGAACATTCAATCTGGTAGAAAGGATATAACTATATTATGTACCTATCAATCCATTCACAAGTATGTCTAGTATTTAATTAAGAAGATCATCTTGTAGCTCATAGATACTGAATAGCATTTCTGGCTTCATTGCTCTCACAAGGATGGTTCAACTTGTAACTGTAAATAATCAAGGGAAAAATGTATTTACCTTATCAAATATTGATGACTGAGAACATGCATTGCTTGCACCTCTTTGATGAAATCCTCAAATACCCCTGGTTGACTCAGAGCATCTGCTTTCAATACTTTCACAGCAACAAGAATGGATTTTCCTGTAGGACTTACCCATTCTCCTGCACCAAATTCAAGTTTGAGACGCTAAATCACTTGGGACTACATGCAGAAACACTGATGCCTAATATTATTTTGTAACTGTTCACTAGCATTGAAACTATTCCTACCACAATGTGATAAATGGGCGTGTACAGGGTGGCCAGCTAAGAATCCAGAGTTCGATACCTCTGTTGTCTTGAGAGATACAAAAAAAAGTTTTGCATTCAAATTGAAGTGATAACCGAGCTTCACATTTCAAAATTTCTTTGAAATACACAGGGTGTTCCGTAAGGTCACAGCACATCAAAGCTATGTTTTTTTTCATTGGAACACCCTATATTTTTTTTCATTTTTGAATTGTCCCTGAAGATCTGGTTTCAACGACGTATCATACTTAGGGTCTAGCAGTGAAAGTTACTGACATATAGGGTGTGCAAAATCGAGATTTTCCAAGTTCAGGATTTTTTTCTGTCGAAACTGTTCATTATTCGTGAAAACGGTTTACATGTCCCTAACTCAACTTTTCACTCACTTTCAATTGGTGTTCAATTGACATTTAATTGGAACAAATTATAAATTTAGAATTTTTGACCACCTTGTATCAATTTCAATTGAACACCAATTGATAGTGAGTGAAAAGTTGAGATAGGAACATGTGAACCGTTTTGACGAATAATGAACAGTTTCGACTGAAAAAAATCCTGAACTTGGAAAATCTCGATTTTGCACAACCTATATGTCAGTAACTTTCACTGCTAGACCCTAAGTATAATGGGTCGTTGAAACCAGATCTTCAGGAAGGATTCAAAAATGAAATAAAATATAGGGTGTTCCAATGAAAAGAACATAGCTTTGATATGCTGTGACCCAACAGAACACCCTGTGTATTTCAAAGAAATTTTGGAATGTGAAGCTCGGTTATTACTCCAATTTTGATGCATGACTTTTTTTTGTATCTCTCATGACAACAGAGAAATCGAACTCTGGAGTCTTAGTTGGCCACCCTGTACACCTTAGTAGAACTTTCAACTCAAACCATGTTTATAATGATCCTTTTATACGTAAATAATGATTGACGACATAATTCGATCGAAAAATTAACTGGAATGTTTTATTTTTGGACATAAAAAATAGTACCTTCTGAAAACGGACCCTCTTATGACGTAGGAACCTCATCTCGCCATAGTTAAAAGAAAATACCAAACGCCCGACTGAGACTGAGGCAACTGATATATTAATTCTTTCAACTATGATCTCGCGCTACTTCACTCTGTCAGAAATCATGTATCATTCATCTCTGTCTGGAATAGTCTCGTTTCAGTATTAGGGTTTTGACGTCACATCATCGCCTCGTTTTCAGAGGTCCGAAAAATCGGGGATTTCAATAATTTTTTATAAAACGTAGGGAGCTCACAGCAAGAAACGGTTTGCGATGGTGAGCTAGTTTGGGTGAGTCCTGAGTTCTATCGAATTATGAAATGAAATTTTTTTGTGATATAAGCCCATTGTATGTAGCACAGGACCATGTAGGAAATATTATTACATGACTATCCCAAGTATTTCATGATTATTTTGTAGAATATTACATAGGTATTGCAAGGAGTTAAACAAACACCTTTTGCATGAAATAGTAGATATTGCATGCATATGTTGTAATGAGAATATTGGTTTCCTCCAAATCAGAAGTAGTAATAGTTTTTCGTATACAGGGTAGGGTGTCCGGAAATTATGCGCAAAAATCAAGGGAGTGATTCTACATGATAAAATGAGAAATACATTTATATGTAAGTGGTGTAGTATCCCTTTATACACTATAAGGGACTCACAATGTCATTGGTATATTTCACTTTGTAATAAAACACTTGTATGCAATAATTAACTTCACTCAGTCGTCACCCTATCGCTGTCTAACGCTTACTACTACTCTCGTCCACGTTACTCAGCGCTCAGGTGATTTCCGTTGATAGTCGTCTATTGTGTAATCAAGGGTGATACATCAACTCGTACACTACACGTGGGTCCGGAAATACTCAGTTTTCAACATACAGTGTCTCAACACTTTAAAAAAAGATCGGCTTTTTATGAATATCTCAAATGTCCTTCCATCGATTTTCTTGAAATTTGGCAATGATATTTTTCGTCATGAGGGGCTGATATAGTAATAATTCAATTGTAATTATGAAATCCAGTGGCGTCCCGGGGGGCAACCTACCGAATATTATTGTCAATAAAATGTGTGCCCCTGATTTTTTTGAATTCTGTATCTAACCTATTGACCAACTAAAAATTCAACATTTTGGTCTCTTGAATTATTTTGATAATTTGCACCTTTTTAATGGAAAAAAATAAATACCAATTTATTGCATACATTTGTGCCGAAAAATTCCTTCAAAAACTGGGGTGAAAATGAATGCATGATTAATTTCCATAGACATAGAATTAGTATGAAGATTCATTTTCCTCAAATATTTCTTGATACATGTTTGACACACTCTACAGTCTGTATATATTGAGAACTATGTATTCTCAGTCCAGGAATACAAAGTCTGTCAAACATGTATTATAAAATATTTCTACGTCTATGGATATGGATCACACATTTAATTTCACCCCTGTTTTTGAAGCAATGTTTTGCACAAATTTTTACAATTGGTATTTATTTTTCTCTATGGAAACACAACAAAATAGCAAAACAATTCAGGAGACCAAAATGTTGTATTTTCAGTAAATCATTAGGATATGGAGAAATAGAATTTGAAGAAAATCAGTGGCGTACATTTTATTGGCAATAATATTCAGTAGGGTGCCCCCGGGACGCCACTGGATTTCACAATACCAATTCAATTATGGCTGAATCAGCACCTTATGACAAAGAATATCATTGCCAAATTTCAAGAAAATCTGTAGAAGGATATTTGAGATATTCATAAAAAAACGATTTTTTCTCAAAAGTTCAACACACTGTATCTTGAAAACTATGCATTTCCGGACCCAAGTATATATGAAACGAACCCCCTTGATTTTTTGCGCATAATTTCCGGACACCCTGTATAACCTCGAATTTACTTGAAGCAATCATTAAGTTTTGTCAATTATTGTTAAATATTGTGGAGAAATAATATTATATTTTACTATTATACCTGTGAAAAATTCCTATACAGATATGCCCACAAGTGTTTCATTTCTGAGATACAGAGTGTCAATGTTTGATTCTTATTCCTGTTTTTTGGGAATAAATTCCAAAATAAATTGAAGTGTTTTATTTGTTCTAATTAGAAAAAACACACATTTTTTTCTATGCTAAGAACAAAGAAAGAGAGCTGAAGAGTGCTAATAATAATAATAATGATGATAGCAATAACAATAAAAAAAAAAAAAAAAAACAGTTGAATATACATCATGATACTGGAGTGAAATTTGGTATCTCACTGTAATATCAGGAATATTTTGGAATTTATTCACAAAAAAACAAAATAACAATCAAACATTGACACTGTATCTCACAAACAAATAACTTGAGGACATATGTTTATATGTTTTCTTCTTATTTTGACATCAGCAACATGCTCCAAATTTTTTTTACACATAATTAAAAAACACCCTGTATAATAATATATTGCACAAGCATCATTGTATAGTAATGGAATAGTATTGAGAAACATGTCACAAATATTACACAGGGTGATTCAAAATTCGAGGTAAATATTTCAAGGACATATTGCTGGGATCAAAATGATTCTTTTTCTCCTTATTAACATGTGTCCCAAAATGCATAAAAAAGATTATCTTAACTTGAGACTGAAATAAGGGATCAAATCTTCTGATGCCCCTGTCATTTAAGACACTTTATTTCCTTTTAGCTCCAAAAATTATGTAAACCCAGTTTTGGGGGAGTTGAAGTGGGGCTGTGGTTTAGAGGGGGTGCATTCTAGAGTAATGTTTACATGAAGAAAAAGTCTTATTTTGATCACAATAATACTTCCTTCGAATATTTACATTGAATTTTGAACCAACTTGTAGATTCTTACTACTGTTGTTTCAGTTATATTATACCTAGCCATAGATTAAAGAAATCTATCATCTTGCTATTATGATGCACATAATATAGGTTTTTACACCTAGGTGTTTGACAAAATGTGTATAATCTATACAATTATATATTATTTGAATATGGAAGTGCAAAAACATTTCACAGTGATGGATAGTACCTATATTATAAAAAATATCCCAAATAAATATGAAATGATTATTACTGCTATGGCAATATAAGAGTCTAGATAAAGAATGTAAACTTTGATGAACATTTTTGACTTTCAATACCATAAATGTTGTTGAAATGCACATATTTTTCTAGAATTCAATGAATCACAGACAGGCCTACCAGAATTAAAATAAAAACATGATGTATCCAAGATTATTTTCCCTTCTCCCAATTTTCTCACTCACTTTACCCCCAAAAGGATATCACTTCCTTGCATATAGAAATATCTTTTTCTCATAGTAATAAGCTTTATTATGAACATGAAATTATATTTTACTCACCCCTTCTTACAACCCCAAAACTTCCATCTCCTAGTTTGACAGATAAAGTAATATTGCTCTCTTGGATGAGACATGATGTAAAATCACTAATAGCAATAGTTTCTGTCTCAGTTTTCTTACTTATAGTCCCCTTACCAGTAACTGGGATCAACTTGTTGATCAAGTTTCGTTTTTTCTGTTGGGTTCTCTTTTTCTTAACAGCTTCTAATAGTCTTCTAGCTCCTGAAATAGGGTGCATTGAAAGAAAACATTGAGTGGTGGGCTTGTTGTGAAAATTTACCTGGTCTGCTTATCCCAATTTTTTCCAAATCTTCTGGTTTCACAAAGTCAAAATGTTCTAGCCTTGTGATTTGAAGATCATCTCTAATTGGCACTAAGAACTGACCCAATTGTACTTCAGACAAAATACATCCAAGCCATTCAATTCCTTCTTCAGACATTTTGCACTGGTATATTATAGAACTTTGTAAAAGCCTATTCTTTTAAGGGATTGATTGATTATACATTGTTTATATTCACCCAAATAAAGGAGATGTTTTGTTTTTAAACATTACATCACAGTAGTGAAAGTAAGAAGATTTTTATTTTTACTAATGTAAAGTACAACTATTCGGGTTGGATGTGGTTGGATTTGGATATCAAAAGGACTCTGATAAATCACTAGAAAATGATTCCAGCTTAGATTCCCTACTTTTGGTAAAATGGTAATGCAAAACAGGATATACACAGGAAACCACTAAACTGCAAGCAGGAAACACAGATTATATACCAACCACAACAATATAGCAACGCCTTTTCTTCAAGGTAATGAAAATACCTTCAGTAGATTAAACAATAGTACAGTAGCTGTGATGAATGATACTGTATGCTATAATGGCTATATGAGTTCACCCATTCAGGCCATTCAACCAAAGATTCTTCCAACTTATTCTGCTTCATAACAAATACAATAATATACTTTATTTTAATATCATCATTTTATTGTAAATATATATAAAAAAACAGAAAAAACCACAGGAATTGAACAGGACATGTTCATCTGTCAAAGTGTCATAGATAAATGTCAGAATCAGAAAAAAAAAATGATGTCCCGGGATCAACTGTCATGTGGCACAACTGTCAGGAACCTTGGTGCTCAGAGCCCATGCTATGTTGATACATTGTTTTTATAGCCCGCTAGCACAATTTTCGGCTATACGTGTAATAACTTCACGGTCACGTGGTGAATGTCACAGGGAGAGGAAACATAAATGACATATTAACCGACAGGGAACCAGGGGCGGATCCCTTGGGTGGGAGGAAGGGGGGAAATAGAGGCCATGCTAACCTCATGAATATACAGGGTGTTCCCTAAAGACATGCTAATATTCGAAGGGGTTATTCTTCAACGCATTTCAAGAATAAAACTTCCCACTAACGTATGTCCTAAAAGTCTTAACTTACAGTGTGATAAAGTTTTGAAAAAAAAAAACAACAGTTTTTTAATAATAACTGGAATAATATTGTAGTCATCTTCATGGAATTTGGTACATATCTTCTATGCATCAAGAGGTGCATTTTTCGATGCATACAAATTTCCTTTTTCTCTACCAGTGGCGCCGTTGGGGGGATATGATTGATTATATTATACTTGATGGAAGTGAGCAACGAAGGAATATTTCCAAATTTGATAGTATGCTATAAAAAGTCATTCAATTTTGTACAAGAAAGATCCATTTTCGAAAAAAAAAAACGAAAAAACGAGATCAAACTTCAAATTTGATGTAAATATGCTAATAAGCTTGAGTACTCCATTCAGGACAGCTATTACTGGATAACCACAGTATGTATCATTTTGAAATATTCGCACCGCTTCAGTCATATAGCAAAATAAATTTTGCCATCAGGAAAGGCTATACAGGGTCGACAAAAAAATCTATATGTATATATGTTCAACTTTGATACCCTGTATCTCAAAAGTTAGGACCTTTGCGACATACGATATATGAAGATTTTATTCTTGAAAGTGGTCCAAGAATCGTCCATCAATGTATCTGTTAGCTTGGTGGACGGTTATATTAGAATAAAACACTCTGGGTACTCCACGATTTCCACTATATTCACAATAGGTATCAGATACAACCTAGCCGTATCACGCCCACTGTGCAAAAACTCATACTATTAACGTTATTTCATTGTAACCAAGATACGTTGTTACGTTGTGAATTTGGTGCTATTGACATCTTAAAGATTATCTTAGAGTCCCCAGCAAACATCGACAGGCGGTAGAAAGCCGGGCCCATGGCGAGAACGGCGGGCAAATGTCGATGTCGGCATGCCTCGAAAGGCCCTCCATATAATTTCGAAGGATTATATGACGAAGGCAAAATGTACACATAGTTATGATGGGCCTCTGTTTCCCAGCCGCTAGTCTTCCGCTGTATGTATACAAGTCCAAGGGCCATCAAAATTTCAACGGAGTGTGCCATCATCACTCACTCAACGTTGGCATCCCTCGCTCGCGTGAGTTTTCATTTTGATCATTTTGCAGTGGTAACAATGATTCAGTATGGCGTATATAAATTTCTTTGTTTATGTTGTTTCAACACTCTAAACAGAGAGTTTAGTACTGTGTTCAGTTCGTGTTTGGTTTTCTAGTGGATTTTTATACAAAATGGAAGGGCATTGAAATAAATACAGAGTGAGTGAGGAACAAACATATATACAAACTTGCACAGCTAAAATTCTCCAATTTTAGACAATAATTTTACAAACACCATTGAACAAACAGATGCAATGATAGTTTGGACATGTTCAGCGGATACACAAGAATATAATAATATATGAGGACTTTGATGATAAATCTATTTTCGAAACGAAAATCGAAGAGTAGGTACCTACTTGAAGAAACAGTTATATTTCAAGAATTACTGTAGGTATGTATTATGTTGCATGTTTTGGATTAGTAGAGAATGAAATCATTCAATCTTTTAGCTACAAAATCAACAACCAGAAGCCCATCAATCACAGATATTAATGAAGAAATCACACAATGATCCAGACTATGATATAAATTTCTTTATGGTATATGATATCTCACTTCCAGGCAACACTCATATCAATATGATGAAGAGTAAGGTTCTCCATATCTGGGAATTGTTTTCTTGTGGATTGAACTCTATTGTTGACAATAACTTATCAATATAATAACTGATTACCTACATAACTTTCAAGTTTTCTTGTTAGGTACATAAATGATGTAATTTTTGACCTAGAGTTAGCAACTTTTTGAAACAAGTGGAAAAACAAATATCTATCATGCATGATGGAACACAAATACATATTATTGGAAATTGTAGGTACCTTTTCATAATGAGTATACAGTGTGATACGTAGAACTAGAATTAATAAGATGTTTGATGTTTCCATATAGTTATGATATGTATTGGTTGTGATCATGCCAATAATATACACACATGGATATTTTCAGTTCTTGTTTTTGTATGGGGTATTTATACTGCTAGTTACTGGAAATAACTGTGATATCAGGATGCCATCTCAGAGATTTCATGTAATTATTCAACAACTTCAGGTAAGGAGTGAATTCCACATTTCTGTTATACCCAGAGAGCATTCACAAAAAACTCGGAGACCTCAATTCTGTTTATTGAAGTTCCACTCTCTCAACCAGTTTGAGAATAAAGAGAGTGATGCAAATCTGAGTGAAAATAGGGTAAGTTGCTTTCCAAGTGGTGATATAAACTGGGATACCTATCAAAAAACCTATTTTCACTAAGATATATGCATTACCCTGTATATTTTTTGACAAACCTAGTTGAAAAATGGAACATCAAAAAACAGAATACCAAGAATATTGAATTCATTCAACATCGTTAACCAACGGCCCTGAAAAACTCCTCTATCGGGGGAATAAAAATACTCAAGCGGCCAATTAATGGCAGTCTCTGAAAAGTCTCAATCGGGCCGAAGATATGCCATGAATGCAGTACATTTGAGTACTTGCTTCTGCCCACCAGAAGCCCTGCAATGTAATAAGCGGCAAACTGATGGCTCTAGAGAGGCGGTCGGCTGTCGGCCGCCGGGACACGGGCTAGCCGGCCCAATTTAGTTGTACAATAGAGGACCGCTGTTACCGCTTGCCGGCAAGTTTCATTGTACCTTTAGAGGGCCGTAAAAATCATGTTTGCTGGGTCGTTATATGTCCACCAACAGTACAATATCGCAGGACGTCGCAAGAACGTTGAGTAAGAGTCGAAACTGATACGTGTCATGAAACAGCTTTGTTACAGTGAAAGTACATTCTCAAATAGTATTTGCGATAACGCATTTACGTACCATGTCTTCATTTCGGAATGTAAAAAGTACATACCCCTGGACGATTTCATAACATACCTGTTTCATTATTGTTGACTCTCTTGTAACATTACTAGGATCTTTCGAAATACACAGGGTGATACTCCAAAAATGTTCACTCTTGTAACTTGGTTATTTCTAGACCAATATTCGTGAATTCTGAAAACTAATACTGGTATAATCACATAGCTAGATTTTATCACACTGGGTTTTTCATAATATGTGGGACGCGTCCTCTCATTTCTCCCACTATAGAGAACGATAAATAGGTATAATGAAGCAAACTTGGTTCAGTCATCTCAAATGTATCGAAAGGAATAAAAAATGGTAGGTATTTTTAACAACTTGAAAACAAAAGAGTTCTGGTCAATTCTTTGAAGGATCATTTATTATTGTTTTGAGCTGCCCTATCACATCTTGATGTGCGTCCCATATATTTTGAAACACCCAGTAGGTATACATTTTCTGGCTAAAAAATATACCAAATAGTTTTTGAATTCTGCGATCGGTCCAGAAATGACTAAATTTACAAGAGGGAACATTTATGTTGGATCACCCTGATATTTACTATAGTCAGCTTCATTGCTGAATACCCACTTATCAGAGGAGAAAAATAAATTCAGAAATGTATTCAATCAATGTATGTAAGGAAGAAGTACAATTGGAAATAAATGGATATTTGATTGACTATGATTATATCCTTCCACATATGTCACTTCAGTTAGTTCAGTTTTATGATTCTATGGGCGAATCTATTTCAAGGCTGAGGATTTCATGAAATGCACCTGAAACACCAAACAATTGTTATACACAATATCAGCATCAAATATTCATATCATCCTACCTTGATTCTGCCTCGAATAGTCCCCTTTCTGATGGTGTGTTCTTGATTCTCGAAACTTTCACCCTCCTCTGTGGCAGTGGGTGGATTTTAGAGTGTTCTAGCCCAATGTAAGAGTTGATTTTCATGTTGTCATCATTTTTTCATACGCCTTTCAAGGACTTACTAATTCTTGTGTCCCCCAAATTCCTCTATTTTTGATTGAATGAAATCCCAGATACTTGGATTCTGAAATATATACCATACCTAAGTAATAAATTTACATTACCTACTATATGCATTTCACTTTTTCATACCTGAACTTCTCAGGCAAACAGCAGAATGATGTGTATTCCATCATTTCTACTAAAGTAGGTCAGAGCAGGGTAGGTTTGTCCAGAGCTCACGCATGTTCTAGTAATGTAGGTATCCATCAGGTTCCGAGGAAACTTCATAAGTACTGACCTGTAAACAATGTAGTACTTGAAGACATTGATATATTCCAATGAAAGCTTCCGTGAATGACATGAATCAAACTATTTTGAGGGAGCCTGTTGGTCACTGATATACCTATATAGCTATTTGGTGATACATTTTTCTATATTGCGTATGACCTGACCCCAAAAATCAAATAATATTACTGAGTTCATTCGAAACAAAGAGAGGAACAATAATAGAGGACTTGTGTGCTTGTAGTTATATTTATCACATAATTATATATTCACTGAGGAAGATATACCCGACAATAAATTATGACTGAAGCCATTATGAATCAGACAACTGTGTGCAGTGCCGTAAATAGCCTTTTCTGCGCCCTGTGCGAGCTTCTATAACTGCGCCCTTATATATTGATTTAATTTCAAGTACT